GCTCACACCTGCTTAGCTTCAGTGGGTTGCCAGTTGTGAGCTGCAGGGTGATATGGCTGCTGGGTATAAATAATGTTGTAAAGTACAACTGGCTGGAGTCCTTCCTGTGGACAACTTTAGACAATGACTTATGGAATACTAGAAAAGTATTGGCAGAGGCACCCTAGAAACAACAGGAAAACAGACCACTACTCAGATCAAATAACTACTCGACCTGCCAATTGCAAATTCTAAACCCAGCTTTGTTTGCTAGAGGTAGTGTCTGGGAAACAGTCACGAAACATACTATCTGGAATTTGCAATTGATATAATACAAATCCAGGTCACCCACTTCAATAAGGAAAGAAAATAAAACGTGCATTACCCCTTTAACCTTTACGAACGAAAATCTAAAGGAACAATCAAAACGCACATTACCAAATTTAACAAAGCCAGCCATTCCTCAATGAAGAGTGGTTTTAACTAAAGCTTGTTTATTACCCTTTTGTCAGATGCAGATTTTAATGAGCAGCACATTCCAACATTACCACCTAGAAATGTCTACAGAATGCTGCTCACGTCCCAGACAATGCCACTGCATGTATTAGTGTAAAGAACTTACTGTACTTTATTCAGCAGATATTTAAAAAAAAATTTAAAAGCAGATTTAAAAGCTAAACCTAGATCATGATCATACATACTTGCAAGTCAAGATAGAAAGAACATCCCCTGGCTTGTAGGCCTCAATGCAAACAGCACAAGCATCTGCGTCTGGTCCAGTTTCCTTAAAAACAAAATAATTTTACATGGTAAAACAAAATGCAGATAAATTCCGATCCCGTCCAGCTTTGCAGAAATCTTAGGTAATATTTTACATTGCTGCACTCTGATGAAGGTTTTATATCTTTATGTAGAAGCACAATTCTACGGGGATCACCCACTGAAATTTTAGCCATTTTGGTTTACACAAACAGTTAATCCAGACCAATATGCAATTTGTAGTGCAAGAAGTGACCTTTTAGCTTTATGAATGAGTAGAGAGGAAAAAAATATTTAAATGTCGGGGAGTCAATTAAATGTGATTGCTTGGTAAATGAGATTAAAGATGGGGCAAGAGGAAACTAAGCAGCATTCTTATCAGTTGTATTAATGGTAGAAAACATCAGTGAAGAATTTAAGTAAAGTGTTGATGCTCAAAACATACATTTAAGTCCAAATTGTTCTTAACATCCAATAATTTGTACAGGAGTACCTAGCCCTAAAACCCTGAGATTAATATACTTAATTTCTAAGGGGTCAAAACCCAGCAACAATGAAAAGAGCAGGATGCCATGAAGTAGTAACAGTCAGAAATATGGCAGTGCCTTTACCTTTTCTGTTACATTATATTCTTTACAACACGATAAGTGTGAATGCGTTTATGTTTGTAAGCTGCAACTTAAGCGAACAGGGAAAAATAAATTTATTTGCATTTTTTCCAATATACTAATAGTATGACCTCACTATCACTTCAAAATGTATAACCGTTTGGAACTAAAAACTACAGAAGTTGGTTACATGTTTCCCAAACGATACACCTTCTGTGTGATCGTCAAAAAATATGAACCTTTTTACTGATTAACAAAACAGAATGCCATTTCAAAAATGTAGTAAACCACCTTCAAAGGCATAAAATATTTTTTAAAGATGCAGCAAAACTTTTAAAATGACAATGAAAGCATTCTAAAAATAAAGAATGCTGGAATTGACTGCAAAGTATACTATACAAGGGTCTGGTTGAATATGAAAAGTTCTTTACCTTATCTCCATTTTTCACAGTTCGAACTTGAAGCTGGCTAATGGCTTTCTTCGCCTCCGCCTTAAGTTGTTTCTGAAAGTAAGCAAACAGTACAGAACAGCCAAATTTAATCTATCACATTCTGGTTTGGTGTATACGGTAGCTGTTACTCAAGCGTTTTCTTACATCAAAATAGCATTTTAAAACAAGGTACTGTAGGAGATTTGCAGAATAATAAACAGCCAACAGAAAGATACAGTCCTTTGTCATTATTCTAGCAGGATAGTTAGTAAAATGATGTTAGTAAATTATTTACACAGTAAAAGCAAATTAGTGAAATAAGAGAAATAAATGTCTGATCCTTCACAGCTCTTTGGCTTTAATCACTTTTTTTGTAATCATTGGCAAAAACACAGAGACTATGCGAGAAGAGGGGGTGACTTAAAACAGTGCTAGTATGGGTGGGAAAAAAAACCAAATAACAATGCAAAAAAATACCTATAAACAACATTTTCAGACATTTTAAATGTGAATGCATGCTGTGCTTCTCATTATTATCAAAAGAGAAGCTGCAAATTTATTCAAGAGCATTTCCCCATATTAGGTAAAATATACAAGGAGTACTATCCAGGGCTAAATCAATGCTGAATAAAAGGGAAATAAGGCAACAAGAAAAATTTACATCAAATCAGAGCACTGTTGTTCCTGTATATTTACTGCTACTTAGAACACTGAACTACCCTGGAAGAAGTGGAAAACAAAATTCAGATGAGGTCACAGAGTTGACAGGGAATCATCTGGGATCTTTACAATGCAAGTGTACAGTATTTCCCTTGCTGACAAGGAGCATAACACAGCCTCCGTTAGGGGAACCTAGTGTTTACGCGATCGAAGTATTCCCAGGAAACATATTCTGGAAACATTACATCACCTTATAGTGAGGCAGATGGTTCTAGGAATGTGGGGTCTGCCAAACTCAAGTCTGAGTTTATCACTGCAGGCCAACTGCAGAGCTCGTACATTTAAAAACCAGCAGATTCCAAAATGCACAACAGCCTAGCCACCAACTCAGCAATTTTCCCCGAATGAGTAACAATTATTTTTGAAATGTTGTTATTTAATGTACATTACTGAGGCAAGAGAAAAGCATTACCTCCATCAGGGGAAAATCAATCATGTAGCAAAAGGCACTTAACACTTCATTTGAACTGCAGTTTGAACAATTCAAGTTGAACCAAGGAAAAGCTTAGCTGAGGGGTCTTCAATCTTGGTTCCATACCTGCTGAAACTTAATTACCTATTTGAAGCCTAAATTGAAATTTGCTCGTTTGGAATATTTACAAGATTTTGTTTTTTAATATTGCAATGTTTGGAAGTTCATTTTCAGTATGAAATGCAATAGTTCAAAGGCCACTTCCAACACTTCTAAGAATGGGAAAGTGTCAAGCAATTCCAATTAACCCTATTATTAAGTCAATTAAGAGTTCAATTGTGTGACAGAGCTTGGCAACCAAAACCAGCGGGTGTGTAGGCCTCCAGCACTAAAATTGGGGATTGGGAACCCCTGGCTTAGCTAGCAATTCATTATACTCATCAACTGAAAAGAAAGTAGAAGCTTGCAAACTGCTTAAAGCCAGACTAATAAGAACTGAAGAAAAGCCTTCATTAAATACATTCTGTTTGAAACGTGTGAAAACTTTTACACTGAAGGCTTGTTACGTACCACCTACCAATGTAGTGCTTTTTGTCTTTCTGTTTTCCTGATAAATAACAGTTTTGTCAGAGAACACTGCATGGAACACAGATTTTACATGCAACTTGCTTTGTGACCACGACTCATAGCTCAGCAGGTTTGAAATTAAAATAGGTACACACACCACATTTACTTCTCACTGACCACATATTTTCATTGCTAATTCCAGGTTTGTCATTCACACACACTTCTGCGCGTTCTGACTGGGCTCAGCTCTTATCGGAATGAATAATTGGTTTCATAAAATGTTAATCCGGAATTTGTAGCAGCTGAAAAAACTAATTTTTAGATGCTCTTTAGAGGGGGGAAAAAAAGAATAGCCAACTTTAGGAAAAAGCAAGGCTGCATTCTGTATGAAATATTTAATACATTATATCTGCATAGCTCCTTCACAACAGCTTGCTATGTTTCACTGCCCTGCAGAGTGGGCGAAGTACAAATCATTTGAATTACTGCATAATGGAATAATTTTCATCTCTGAGGCCCCAGGTCCACTCTGAGAAGACTAAAATTTTGGCAAAACAACACTGGACCTGCGAATAATGTAACAATTGGATAAGAAAGACATTTGTCTTTATGGTCAACGTGGGGAGAAACAACTTGGCTCATTATAAGTGTTGGCAGAAGGATACCCACTCCGCAGTAAATACCATACTGTGCACCACTCCAAGTTTTATTCCATTATTGGCAGGGCATCCAGTTATGGAATCTGTCCTGAGCATGTTGCGTACCTATAGGTACTGAATACTAGATGTACAACAGGGTACATCTGGATATAATGTCTTTCACAATACAACAAAGAGCAAATTACCAAAAAAGCTATTGAAAAGATTAGCAGTGATTGCCAAGTCAAATGGTTTCAAATGGTACAGGAAGTTGCTGCTAATTCCCAAATAAACAGAAGCCAGGCTGCCAACAGAGAAAGGTTTCTGTGCTAAAATACCTACAGTACTCCTGTCCATTCTGGACTTTCCTTATGTTCAAAAAGCCAAAGTCAAAAATGAAACTGTCAAATCTTTACAATGAGATTTGTGGTAGTAAAGAATGCTGGGAAGCTACACTTCAGTTCTGTATTTATAAGCTAGGGAGCAGGGGGTTGCTGGGGGTTTCTTTCTCCCAAACAATTTTTTGGAACAGCACCAAAAAAGCACTAACAAGGATCTTTTAAAATACACCTCATTATATCATATTATACATCAAAACATGAAATTCTAGTTCAGTAAAAAAAGCTGGTAGAAGGAAGTTCAAAACTGGAAAGTTAAGAGAGAAAAACAAATGTAATCCATAGTACTACAAATGGATTTATAGAAGCAAAAATGAATAACTTTGGACAAATGCCTCATATAAATCGAGTCAATGGTGAAAATAGGACAATTAATCAAATTGCAGGACCTTGCATTGTTAGTCTGATCCACATTTGATCCACATTTGCAGGCTATGGAAAACCCTAACCAGGACTACAGACTGCACAAGTAAAGCTCTTTATTTTTTGTATTCTTACATGTCTAGTTTCAACAGGGAGACCAATGTAGATTACAAGTATCTAAGCATTATATCATCTTAAATGCAAAGCGAGAACCTGCACAAAAATTTTAATACGTTTTTCAAGACTGATCATTGATCACAGAATACAAAATGATATACCATGTGTGTAACAACGGCCACAGTAGGATTCTAGCTCTGACAGGATCAAGACTAACATTTAAAGGATATTCAAGCAGGGAAATACAATATTTCATTTCGAATGAAAAACTCTGGTAAAAGGGTCTTATTGTATATCAAAATTGGATTTTTAGAAAATACTGTATTTTCAAGCCCTAACCAAGAGATTCTTTAACATTACTTAATGGGAATACTGATAAACAGGAAATGTCTGAACCAAAAATAAGTAGACACTCAAAACTCTTATGACAGTGGCTCCCACCTGCTTACATAATAATTCCTCATGACTAATCAGATCGGTTCAGGCCAGCCAGACTAAGAAGATCTGAATCACACTGCACTGAAGCTGGATTTTAGACCTACAAAGAAAGTACTAAAATTATTAAAGTGTACTCTTAAAAAACTAATTAGGCATTAAATTGAAAGAGTCGAGAGACTATAAAATAAATGTTAACTCCAAAACACTTAATCAAATTTAGTATTTAAAGGGCACTTTCCAAGTTGAAGTTGTCTGTATTATGTCTTTTTTCTGAAGTTGAAGAAAGATGTTGCATAATTCTGGAATGCTCCGAGTTGTTTAGCAAGTTTTTCTTGTCATGTACTGTAAGTACACAGTCAAGTGAAGTCCGTATCTGTTAAGCTATTTTAACAGTTATCACCCGTATTACCCTTTAGACTTAAAGTGTAAACATTGTTGAAGAAAAACGTCATTTACTGTACTATAAGCGTTTCTTAAAAGCACAAGGTCAAAAGCTCCTTGCTCCAATGTTTTGTGCTCCCCCCAGAATTAACTCTTGATATACCATCTCAATTACAGGTTTTACCACGAAAGAGGCTATAAACAATCTATAGGGAAGTGTGCTCTTTTCAAACAGAGAACAAGACACATAAAAGAGTTCCTGCAGTCAGTAACAAACAGCTCTGCCTGACTGTCAAAGCTGAGATCATCACTTTTTTTCCCCCAGACATGCCTGAATTAAATCATTAGATCATTTAGCTACTAAAAACCAAACCGGAAGGCCAAATGCTCTCTTCTTCTATATAGAATACCTCCAGGACTGCTGTAAGATTCTCCATGCAATCTAATGTAAGAATAAATCTGAACCTGAAATCACATTTTTTAAAAAGGGTCAATCTAAACCAGAGGTCTTCAACATCTCATGCTTTAGACTTCCCTTGATTCAACAAAATATTTGCCCAACTGATTAGTTACCCACAGGTTTTCCCAAATTTGCAGGTTTGATATGACCAAAAACACTAACTGGATTTGAGCTCTCCAGTACCCCTGATCTAAGGTCTTTAAATCTGAAGTGGGGATAAATCCCTCCTTTGGAAAAAAAAGATCTCAGCCTTCCTGGTTACTTGGCAGTGAAGAGGCATTTACCTGCTTGCGATTCTGTGCTCGCATGCTGCTGAACCGGCGAGCAGAGTAGAAGATGAAGTAGCCTACAGTGGCGGCCGTCACAATGAAGAAAGAGATGGACACGAAGAAGACCGAGTAGTGGCTCATCCAGGGGCCATGCTGCCTGCCCACTTCAATCGTCATGGTGACCTGAATGCCGCTCCTGATCAGACTTACAATCTCCAAGCCCTTGATGTTCCCCACCATGATGGCAACGGTGTTTCCTGTCCCTGCAATCAAGCAGACAAAAGAGAGCATGACTTCCCAGGTCACCGGATTATCTGGAGAATCTAGGGGCTCAGTTTGTCCCATTGATCAAGTGTAAAATTGTTTATAATTTATCAACAGCAAAAGACACACATTCTGTTACAAAACGAAAATACTTAAGATAAATTAGAAAGTTAATATTTGAAATGCAATGTCTGAAGAGCAGGGCATAAAAGGTATAACCAGTGACATTAGTTCAACTGAAAAAAGAATGAAAATCAGGAAACAATGGGGTCTGGATTTAAGAAGTCCTGTGCTTGACAGAAAGGACATAATGGACCAGGAAAACTTTAACCAAGTACTCGTGTTGTACAGAGTAAAAAAAAAAAACTTAAAAGGCTAATAATTCTTACAAAATAGGCATTAAATGAACTTTAGATGCTGTTATGAATTAGCATGCCTGAAACATAGACCTCTAGAATCCTTTTGTTCCCCATATTTCCACTGCTTTCCTATAAATAATATTTTACTTTGAGAAATCAACTAGCAGCCAGCAAAGGGTTAACCTCACTATGGAGCACAACTTCCTGAGTCATGCTCAGGTTTACAAAACACACCTTAGCAGGAAATCTACATACCAGGCACCTGTTGTAAGGGCAACTGTCGTTAAGGTTACTTTCTCAAGTAAATGCCTTACAATAAACTGCCTGCATTAACTACCAAATATTATACTCCCTCCATAAAAGAATAAAACTTTGACCCATTGACAGCATTTTTTATTCCATCACATACACTGTATACAGAATGATCAAAGGTAGATTATCTGATCAAGCTTTTGAGACAAAGGGGAATTACCAGGCCTACTCACACAAAGTAAAGTGAAACGAACAAGATTTTTTCGAAGTGTAACATTTCAATACAAGTTAAGATGGGGGGGGGACTCCACTTTGGGTAAAGTTTGTTACCTTTACATCAAGGCCTTCTTATAGCGCTCGCAGTATGGCCTTTTTAGGCCACCTTACATAAACACATGAGCCCAGTCAGCACAAATGTTTGAGTCTTTACTTTTCTTCTTCAGACACTTGCCCCAGATAACAACGTGCCACCTACTCTGTGTTGAATAGACTTCAAAACAAAGATCTGGTGTTATAAAAATGGAGAACACAAGGCTTCACCAGGAAAGGAACACAAAATTAACCGCTTCATCCTGTGCTGCTGGCAAACGATCCACGTGAAACAGCGTGTAAATGGTTGTCACCGCAGCAAAATGTAAAAAAGCAGGTTTGTTCACATCTCTGGATGAGTAAGCCAGCTAAACACCCACAGTCTTTAACTGCCCCATGAGGAGAAGGAATTAAAGCAGACGCCCTGTGTGTGATGATAATGAGTAAGGATCGGGCCTGGTCTCGTCTTAACCATCAGACGTTCATTCATTAAAGGAAAGGAACCGAAACTGCCTTTGGGAGAATCATGAGGGAAAAACATGAGACCTCAGGCAAAAAAAAACAGCTGCTGGCTCAAGGACTGTTTTGAAAAGAGTTAAGAGTCTGAAAAACAAGCAGACTTAGCGCTCTTGGAACAGACAATAATTTTGATTCGGAACAAGAAAAATAATCTACCACCAGTTTTTAAAAAAACACTTATAAATAATACAAATTTATATGTGAAATATCAAAACTTCAAGCTTCCAACACTGAAAGGAACACTTACAGTGGGACTGTTATTCCTAAACTATACACTGAGGTACTGCAGACAAAAACCCACTCAGATTTGTGATATGTCCATCAAAAAATAAACCTAATCCATGAACCATCCATAAATGTACCAAACTCTCAAGCTTGGGTGAAAATTTTAAATGAGGTACAACTGGAAGACAGCATTGTGTCTTTTATAATAAGTTTACCATCTACAATACTTGTTTCTTCATGCACTTGACTGGTTTTCCTGCATTCTCAAGTAACCTACAGGGTTTCATTACAGACGAGTCCAGACCACAGCTCAACAGGGAATCTTCACCTGCATCTACTGTACTATCACTTCCTTAAAAGGGGGATGAAAAAATAGTGAAATTCACCACGACAACATCTCAAATATGGCATATTTTAAAGGATATTTTTCCTCATTATAGGGATGAAAAGAAATCCCACTTCAATGTTGAAAAAAGTTAAACACTAAAAACATTTAACAATTGTTATGTTTTATGGCACTATGTTTTAGAGGCATACTGCTACTTTCACTACAGTCAAATGTGATAAAGCCGATGTTGGAAAAATGCATAACTTATGCTGCAAAAGGTGGCTAATAACCTTGTCCTTAAATTCAAATCATTTTGGCTCACACACAAAAGGAGTCCAACTGAGGACAGATTAAAATAAAGCAAATATAACTAATTATAATTATTACAAGCTTCATCAGTGTTTCTACCAGCCTAATACAAGGAAATATCCTTACAAAATTTTGCATCAGACAGGGGCATTCAATAGAAAAGGTTTCATTTTAACAGCATGAGAATAGAAAACTTTAAACACTTTTCCACATATGCTGAGTAACTGTGGAATTTAGCCTCAACAACTCCATTGGACAAATGATTACAGCTCTACAAAGACAGGCACACCTCAGAGATTAACTTGAACAACCACAAATTAAACTTGATTTATTAGCCTATTATTTTCATTCAAAATTGGCAGTCAAGACAGAGAAAACAATTGATCACTGTATTTATTGTAATAAACAGTAAAAAGGCTCATGGGTGTGGATTGTAAATGTATTTTGCTAATTTCAACCTGGTGTCCAACACAAAAACATCATTCTCCTTTTCAAACAGAACACTGTACTTAAATCTCTTGCAACACAAAAAATTAAAGTGCATATTCACGCGTTAAATGTTCTATTGTCGTATTTAAAACAAAAGGTGGGATCATTTCTACTTATGGGCTTTTCCTGAAACGTGTGCCAGAAACAGTCGTCAACAGGAAGATGAGCTTCAATGAATCTATTGTGTTTTTCAAAAGCTTGGGGACAGAAAACGTGGATGGAACAGTTTCAGATTCCTACCCTGAAACACTAGAGGTTATAACAGAGGAACAGGTCACAGATAAAATACACAAGAGCTGTTCCTTATGTGTAAAACTGCAACAAGACAACAGTCTCAAAAGAACAGGCTGAAGGATTAGGTTTTGCAGAATGCCAGAGCCGATGATCTGTCACTGTGGGTAGGGGAAATGACACATGCATGATCCTGTGCTTAAACTGCTTTATTTGCAAAGTTATAAAATGAACATATTGCAACATTTCACAAACGGCAGACGTGTCAACGAGAGCTCCATTCCCATTGACAATCAACATGTTCATGTCATCTCTTCTTCAAGATGACAAAATTGCTACAGTCTACTTGGGCTTTTAAAAAAAATTGTTTGAAATCCTTAAAGAAAACATTGGACGACACCCTTGAAAACCATGAGCTAATAGTACAGTACGTGAACAAGTGAGCCTGACAGTGGTCTAAATGGCAAAATAAATAAAATTAAGAGGTCATAAGGCACATACTGTATAGCAACTTATTTAAACCATGACAAGCTGATGAGATATTCCAAGTTTCCAAAGCTTGAATCAAAAGGTAAATGAGTTTGTAACCGTTATGATGGGAGATTCTTCTAAATGCAAAGTAAGCTCCGTGACATCATAAACACCTGATGGGTTTCAAACGTGTACATCAGGCGAGTTGACATGGTACATTCAAAAACAGGCAAAGTAGATGTACTTTTCTTCTGGGCTCACCTGTATCCTACACCACACAAATTACGGAGACGTGAACACAAACACACTCAGGAGAGCATTCTTCTGGGAGACAGATCCTGGGGTCCATATCAAATATTAACCAAGGATTTTAGTGGGCTCATTAAAAAAGAAACATGGTCAGCACACTGGTCTGTTAAAATATGAACAACCTCCCTTTTCTTTAAGATTAAAAAAAAAAATAAACAGCCGAGTGAGAGCTGGGTTACCTTGTACCATCCCTGCAAAACAAAGGAACACCCTATAAAAAGCCAAAGGGGAATATTAAGAATTGTAATTTAACAGTTGTGGAAAACAAAAGTCTGACCAGAAATACTCCCTCCTAAAATGTAGCTTTACCATTAAAATCCCCACAATGTCTGTTGGGTTGGAGCCACAAGTAGCCTAACATTAAAGTCCGCACTGAATCTCATCAGATAGCATCTTGCCAGTCATTAAAGGATGCTTGCCAATACCCTTGACATGACCCAAACTGGAATAATGTAAACCAAACAGGATTAAACTGTTCTGTCATGCTTGACAAGATCACCTCACTATCACTACACTCCTGGCTAGTAAGATTACAGCTCGAGTGCCCGATGAGGATTACTACAAATATAAAAGCTCAACCTGCTTTGCTAACCTTTACTTTACCAGGTCCTCAAATGTGGACCATCTACTGTAGGCCACCCGTGCACAAGAAAGTTTAAAATTCATATAGATCATGACCCAAGAAATACTGTACATCACGCAGTACCAATTCAAATACATAATCCGTGAGAAAATTTAAGAATAACAAATACTCCGAGAATTTGAAATAGGTGTAGGAACTTCCGTTATCGTATAATGCAAGTATTTAAAACAAATTATTCTATTAAAGCGAAATGTATACAGCTAGGCTGGTAGACTACAGTATATAAGGTAACAGTTAACACAACAAGCCAATTGTGCTTTTAAAAGTAGATCTCAGACCCTGAGTTTGGGCTGCCTAGTGTTAAAACTAGTTTAACGGGTAGGCACTAGTGTCAGCAGGGGGCTGTGAATCCAATCTATAATGTTAAATTCCTATTTTAGTTTTCCAATGGTCAAAATCATGCTAATCTACAACGCTCTTCCTCAATACAACCACAATACCAGTTCCTGCTGCTGTATTTTACCATACAAAATCAAAGTCTGAGTTACTTGAACACGTCGTAAGTAAACTTTACATAAAGAAACAATCCTACTGTGATAATGCTGATAATGACAGAGCTCTACACAACTTCATCCACAGAACAGTGTCGCTTAATGAACATCTAGTGTAGGGAACAAGCATCGGATCGATATTAAATGTGTCTTTATACTGTATTGTACACAGTGTATCGATCTTAATCCGTACAATACTACCTCAAACAAAATGTACTGTATAAGGGGTGGTGGACAGTCAGGAATAAAGGAGTAAAGACTTAAGTAAATTACAGAACTATATGTGTATATACAGTAATCTGTATGCTTTATTGGCCGTTAATAAAATTAAGGCTCACCTCATTTGTAAGGCTGCTTTTCGTAGTGGTACTGTAGTACAGTACGCATACAGTACATCGGACAAGCCCAAAAACTACGAATTTGCCGAACCCAACTCAATAAAGAGCAAAGCGCTAACATAAAAATAACAATTCACAGCGCAATACAGGGGGGTAGACTTTCAGCCTCAGAAACTCGTTTGCATTCTTATACAGAAAAGAACCCATTGTTTTAAAGACAAACACGAGCTGGTTAGCACAGAGCCACCTGTGTTTACACATACCTGGGTGAGACATCTGAATGACCCGATTTTCGGATTCGGGGTCGTTATTATAGATCACCACGCCAACGGCTCCGTTTCTCGCCGCTATATTGATCTTCTCCGTAAAGGTGCATCCATTCCCGCGTTGGATCAAAGCAATCCATTCCTGCCCGCGAGTAGGAGCTTGATAAAAAGTATCGGGATCACAGCCATGCACGGGTTGCGGCATAACAACTTCCCCAGTTACTGAAGCTTTTGGCGAATCCTGGCCATAGAGTCCGCTTTCGTCCTTTTGCCACACTGTTTCATTAGTTTCGGGGTCAGTGAACGATATATTCACAAGTGCGGTGCAAAGATAACTCGCTTCAGAAGAAGAAAACACCGACACCACAACAGCTGCACACAACCACAGATAGAAACGCGGCACTTGAAAGCTCATTCTCGTTCTTCAGCTCACTGCGAGACGGGTCCCGTTCAGAGTGAAGTTAAACGTTGAACACGAAAGAGCTTTAGAAAAAAAAAAAGTTAAATAACTTGGAACAAATTGTTTTCTTCCACCAAGCCTCGGTCACCGGTCGCCACTGACAGGTGCACTAGTTCATTTCGACCAATCGAGCTGTTTCTTCTTCTCGAGAGGTCAAATTGCCTGTGAACACACCCATTGTTTCTTTAAAGGGGCAAGTTCATTTCTCGGCGAGAGGCTACCCGTGTCTTATAAACAGCTCAAGAAAACGTGTCCTGTCTTGAAAACCTGAGGACTGGAAGGCTATTAACTACTGATCTTGAATCACTTGATGCATGCAAGTCTAACCTGGCCTTCACAGTATTTCAGATGCTGTAACTTGCGTATTGTTGGTTATTTTTTTTACCAACTCTAACTCAACTACTATACTTTCTTTCTGAGTTAAAATATTATTTGGATGTCATTAATCTTTCGGAGAAAATTAAGATAAGTAGAAGTACAGTGGCCTAAAATATTTGCTTTGAACGCCATTACAATACATTTTCAGTGTTTTATTACGTCAGGGTCAAATGAAAGACGTAGGTTTAAATTCTCATACGGTACCTCATGGTATATTAATTGAAATATGTTTTTTTTTAATGGTCACTTGATTCAGTTATAAAAAGCGACTTCATTTGTATTTCCCTAATGTTAATACATACAAAGAAAATCTCTAAAGTAGTTCGTTTGAAACGCAGTAAAACTAATTACGGTTTACCAGAAATTAAGAGCTCGTCTCCCCCTCCCGGTCAATGTTAAAAATTACTTTGGAAACTTGTAGTGTAGAATTTTTCCATCACTGTGAGAAATTAAAAACTCCAAACGTTTTCTAGCCATACGTAAGTATACTGAACATTTTGGTAATTTCAGTAGAAAATGTGAAACTGGTATCTACTGCTGACAAGTACACTCTAGTTTTGAGTGTTTCAAAACCAGTTTCATACAGCATCACTTGAATGAGAATTTAAATTTTAGACTGCTTCTAACGTAGAGGTTGCGATCAGTTTAAACAAATTCATACCAATAAATACCAGCTGAGATTATTAGAAACCGGTTGCTAATTTCGACAGGACGCAGTTGTAGTTTCCACAATGGCAGTTTACAACAGCGGAACAGAGGTTTCCAACCGTAGTCATGGAGTTCTCGTTGTTTTATAATTATAAATTATATAATTGTGATTTTTAAAGATTAAGAACACTTATTTGGATTGATTAAGCAAGTAATTTGTTCATTTGACGAAGTTACGGCACTTCGGAGATATAAAGTGTATTCTGTTTTTTTCATAAATCTCTGAGTATGATCCCATTTAATTTTAATTCTTTTAATTTTATAGACTGCCTATAAAACCCGTTGGATAGAGGCTCAATTGGAACAGGGTAGGAGGCCCATGTAAAAGTATTGCATTGAGTGCACACGGCCCCCCTCTCTCCCGTTGCTGACGGGGAGTATTCATTTCATGAAAGGATAGAGAACAGAAAACAGGTAGCGTTTTCAATACCAGTGTTGCCGAGTATACAACGTGATTATAAGAGTAATAACTATTTTTGTTATAATGCCGCCTAAATGGGTTACTAGAGTCCCTTCGCATTTAGTGTAACATAGTGTTTGTGCTTATGTTTAAAATGAAAATGTAACAACCCCTTTTCTTTCATTTAGATAATTGTTCTATTTCCCATATTGTTTCAATTCTACAATACTGTTTGCCCAAAGCAAAGTAACCTCTTCGTGTGATTTCTAAATTTAGTCTAAGGTTGCTGTAATTGTTCATATTTGCATGCTTACGGACAGTCCACTGTTGAATAGTCTTTACTTTGCAAGGAGAGGCTAGGGCACAGTAAATATTTTTTCATAGATTGTAAATTCGTCATAACTGGCATTCTTCCTGACCTTAACAGTTAAAGTTGGTACCAAAGTTTCCTTCACAGTCATATTCAAATATTTATCAAACGGTATTTGATTTAGCAAACTAAACAACGTGTAACAGTACTGGTGTTAAATCCATTAAGGCAACTTTTTGAACTGCCTTGTAAATGTCAATTCAATGGCAGAGAGAAACCCTTTTTTCTTTAATCATAATACATAATTTTAATATACTGTACTTTTTATAACATACTCTGTTATTTTGCAGTCACAGATACCTGCACCCTGACCAGAACAACTTCAATACAAGATATGTTTATTTTACTATATTATTATACACAAAGTTTCTAAACAATAATGAATTACCTATTCAGATATTAACTCTTGCCGTATGTACTATGCAGTAAATGTCCTGACAGAACACTAGAAGTACATTAAAACTGTAATGTTTTTTTTTCTCCTCTCCTGCTTTACACATTACCACAAATGTATCTATCACAGAAAATGAATCCTATTGCAATATTTGACTTAAACTCCCCTCAAGAAAAAAAGTGAATGAAAGTATCTTAACTCTAGACTCAACAGATACAGATAGTAACTGACTGTATAAAGATCCTTGTAATTTAATATGAAGTACACAGTTACTTTTGAAACCTGTCCTCAGTGCTTCAGGTAAATTCAGAATACATTTCTTAGGAGCTACAGAAATTATGAAGGCGGTTGTGTTTATCTCTGATACAATATTCATATTATACAAAAATCTTAAAAACTGTGTACAGTTAAAGCCAATAAATTGGAACAATAAAATAGAACGCAGAGCGGGACTTTTTATTTTTTTATATAAAACTGTCTACACCATACTCACCATAATGTATCATGGGACTTGTCTCATTGCCAGTGCCTTCGATGTTATAGATCACAACTGCTGAGGCTCCTCTCTCGGCTGCTATGTTGACCTTTTCCGAGAAGGTGCAATTCCCTCTCTCAATCAGAGCAATCCATGGACCTCCAGTGCTGTTAAATTGAGTGTCAGAGCGACAAGCTAATGGATCGGAGTTTGGGATTTCCACCACCCCTTTTGCTCCCGCCAGAGGAGAATTCAACCCATACAGTCCGCACTCACAGATCTGTCTCTCAGTCTGGTTGGTATGAGGATTCTTGTAGCTAATTCCAACAAAGGCTGTCCAAACAACTGTAGCTTTAACATGGCTCTTGATAATGCACACAGAAAACCAGAGCATCAGAATGTAATATTGACTTCTTTTATCCATTTTACTTAAAATACCTACATAGGTAGGGCTTTTACAAGTATATTTTGTGCGTGCTAATCTAAGGCTTGCACTGTCAAAGCAGTTGCTGTCGGTAAGCTGATACCTCTTTGGTAATGTAAGCTTTCTCTACGTCAGCTTTAGTTCCTGTTATCTTAATGGACCTTGATCATTTGCTTAGAGATTTTTTTCTAAAGCACAGGATTTAAAGTGAAGTTTCCATAATGCTGGAATCCACATTTGACATAACTTGTCAAATTATTTACAAAACATCCTTAGTCATACACAAGAATTTATCTCCTGAAAGCGGCACACCTGTAACTAAAAACTCCCATTTAATTCTAATTTTTTTCAGGACCAAATGAAAGTGTTAAAGTATGTAGCTTCATGTGCCACTAAAAAACAAAAGAAAATGTTGTGTGCATCAATGAGACAATTACTATAATGCCAGCTTTAAATTCCACAAAATATTGTAGGCAAAACTTTATGAAAAGCAAAAGCAAATAAAAGGTAATTATGCTGAACTTATATTTAAATGATATAAGCCAAACGCACAAATCGATAACACAAAGAGTTCAGTAGGGTTCAGTGTTCTTCAAATCACCACAATTGAGTATGCAAAAATGTCAATGCAACCTTGTGAAACTGGAATGTAAATGTTTAAGGTTAAAAAAAAGACTAAAAAACCTGTATGGGCAGACAAACACCTTCAGCAGCAGATCAAGAACTAGTTATTTATGTTTCTAATATGCTATACAACATTATTCACTGCTTCAATACCCTGGTTTCAGGGATCCTAAAACTATAAAATGAAATTCTCATTCACCTTTGTAACTGTATGACTGGTAATGAGTAGTATTGTCTTTTTAAGTCATTTTAAAATTTATCAATTTGAATGCCTTGCAGTTGCGATTGACTTACTTTTATAAACAGCCTCAAAGATTTGAATTTTGAATTATCTTGGTCATAATTTTAGATAAAAATATCAGAGAAAAGTAGTTCTCACTGTTCTTTAACATCATGAAAAAACATGAAAGGTCACAGTAAACTCACTTACTGTATAGCGAGGAATCATAACTGTTAACTAGAATTACACCAAGTAAAGAAGCGATATATAATTTGACAAATGAATTTTTTGTTTTACAAAAAGTCAGGATCAGGATTTAAATATATGTGAAACAGGAAACAAAATTAAACCTAAGTGGAAGTACAGCAGGAGGGGAATAAACAGAAGAAGACAAAGGAATTGAACTGTCTTACGATATTTTTTAAAACAAGAGAGCAGGACATAAACCATCAACTAGAGCTTTTCAAAATAGATGGAAAAATATAAAATAAGTAAATAAATCAAAATATATTTTATTATTTACTTATATGTTTTAATAAAATAAGAATCAAAACATTGATGATCATTAAGTATGCATATATACATTAGCCAGGATTTACAGCACTGTGCCATTACATAAATAATATCCTCATTATTTGCTCTTCTAAATGAAGAGACAAAATATAGGCACAAATTTTGTGCATATTTTACTATATCATGGTATAATATATACAATGTTACAATATAAGCGATGCAGCATTATTGTATATGGTATTAAACCTAATACCATAGGTTTGGGCGGAGCGGTGGCTCTGTGACTGGAAGGTTGCCGGTTCAAATCCCACAGCTGGCAGAGGAATCCTACTCCGTTGGGCCCCTGAGCAAGGCCCTTAACCCCAACTGCTCCAGGGGCGCCGTACAATGGCAGACCCTGCGCTCTGACTCCAAGTTTCTCTCCCTGTCTGTGTCTCCATGGAGAAAAAGCTGGGGTATGTGAAAAGACGAATTCCTAATGCAAGAAATTGTATAGGGCTAATAAAGAAACATTATCATTACATTATCATATTATGGTCTTCATAATTTGTAATTTAAATTATTATTAAGTAAAATATTCTAGAAAAAAGGTGGTATTGTGGAGAGTCATAATCATTAAAAGTGATAGTGTGGGGAAAAAGGAAAATCATTACATATCACATCATTAAAATTAAAGCATTTTTTATTTGTGGTTTACACACTTCCTTTTTGAATCAATTAAAAAGTGCACTCATACAAAAATATTGTACAAAAAGGTTATATTAATGCATAAAGAAGGAAATCTTAAACATTTAACATGAAAATAGTTTAAACAATTAAAAAAGTTATCTTGTTCTGAAGGTAGGTTCTCATTACTTTATGAAGCCTTACCTTACCCTTTATTTTCATTTCATTATAGCAACACAGTTTCTAATTCAACATGTTAAGACCAACAAAAAACATTCTGCTAGAGATTACAACACTTTCCTTACATTTTCTACAAAAAAAACTAGCTTATTTGTGTTCGTTCATACTAATACAGCATCTGTCATTTTATAGACCTTGTTGATAAAAACCTCTGTCTTTTGATCTCCAAGATTATAGAAATCTAACAAGCAGATGACGTGCAAGTTGTCCAGGCTGGCAGCTGAATTTTGTATTATCTCTCCTAAAAGCAATAAAATTGTCACATTATTCTTTTCATACATGCAGCATATTCTCGACATTGTAAGAGCAACATTTAAAACTGTACACTCAAAATTAAATCTTAAAAAGCTTGAGATGTTCCAATAGGTCTTAAACTGAAGCCTTTTGCAACCCTTAGGAGAACTGATGTTGAAAATGTATATAACCACTACTTATTTACAACAAGCAAAGCCAAACAACACACCTGTGTGACATTTGGTAGTTAGCTCCAATACATAGCACATCACGTGCAGAACTGTTGCTCAAACAATTGAATTAAGGAGGAAACAGTTGTGCAAGCTCAAAATGGAATTTAAACAGGATACCTGGATTAACAAACCTACTCTTACAAACAGTCCCATGGAATGTTAATGTCAAAGTATGAGTTTAATGTTTCATCTGAAGGATAGCACCTCCTACAGTACAGCATTTGTCCAGAAGAGACTGATAAGACCTACAATTGCTTAGTTTTTGAGTTGTGACAAGAAAATGTAACAACTAATTGTCTGTATTCAGACACAAGCTCAGGTTAAATGAAAGTCCTAATCCATTAAAAATACAAAGTATAACTGGATGGCACGTTCTGATTGCATGAGATGCACCCACCAAAAAGTGGGTTTTAAATTTGAAATTGGCAGGTGTGTGGAAGATTTCTTTTGATCTATGCCACAGTTAAGCCAATCATCCTCCCCCATCAGTTAAGGAAACACAGACTGTGAAGAATACAAGTTCTCACCTGGAGCTAGGAAAACTGGCTGAGTCCCAACACTATCAGTAGAATGCTCTGGGCAAACAAACCCTGTTGTCAGGAAGGAGAACAGTGTATTGTCATGGGGGTCATTTGGCAAGCCCACACTCCTAGGGTCTTCAGGTGACATTACAGGCAGAAACAAGGCATTGATTGCAGTCTGATGATTTATGCCTTAGACAGAAACAAAAACAGATGTTAGGCAACAAAAACAACTTTAAACAGAAAATTGCTGATTTCTATAAAATAGGGAAAAACATGTTTTTTTCTTTTAAGCAAGTAGTGGATGTATACTGTAACAATGGTATAACTATATTGCTTCAAGTGGGGGTAAGAGTACTGTTAAATCAACTCACTTACCTAATATAGTGACTTTATAGTATCCATTATGAACTACAGGGGTGTATTGATTTATGTCCTGTTCAACAGAAAATACCTCAGGTATCCACTTTTCCGGGTGCAAGTTGTTGTACTGCAATAGAAATTCTTTATTTTCACAATCAAATTTACGAGGAATGCTCTCCGGGTGCAGAAAGTCAAAACTGAAATGTTCCTGCAACTGTCCTTTCAAATCTGACCATGCAGTGCTTTCCCACGAACAACTGGGATCTTTCTCAAGCTTCAGTCTTTCAAGTGTGTTACGGTTCAGATGATCTAGAGCATATAGAAACAATGCCTTTGGTTAATGACAGACCTAAACAGCACATTGACCTACCACAGCAGAAAAAAACATCATAACAATGCAAAAAAATCACACCTTTAAGGTTGTTACGCAACTCTGGAATGTATAAGATTTATTGAAAACTTTCCCGTCATCATTATTATTTTCAGTTCTGTATGAGAACACTCTGAGTATTAAAAAAAGTACATTGCATGAATTTCACTGAAGACAGAAAATGGGACATTCGTGTTTCAATTAGAACTCTACAAATGTGAAACTGATGATCAAATTCTTGTAGGTAACTATACTGAAATCAATATTGAAAACTAGTCACAAACGAGTTAATTTTCTATTTGTATGTCACTTGACCCGTTGCGAGATTGGGACTGGTATAAAGTTTCATAACCATTTTACGTTTTTGCTATTTTAAGACACATTTTACATAACATGTAAGTCAATAACGTACCACCCTATGAGTAACCAACCTCATTTCAAATGAACTTCTCTATCTACAGTACAGTATGTAACATAAAAACCTGTTTCAAGAGACCATCCCTGCCATAAACTGCTGCCTGCTACTGCCTGTTACCAAACTACCATGTCAGAAAATTCAGTCTTATCATGTGCACAACTTTAACTATAACCCCAAAAAGGTGTGGCCATGCTTAATGGTCTTAGGTTAAAGGTACAATATGTGTACAATATGGGTAATTACTAATCAATGATAAAGGGCAGTCGAGTGGTTTAATCAGTAAAGCTTAAACTCCATAGCCCGTAGGTATATAACTCAAGCCTTTTGTATCACTAGCCAAATGTGACCAGGGCTCCACAGGCAGTGTGCACAAGTTGTGAAAATGCTAATGGGCATTTCTCAACCAGGGCCCTCTTAAATTTTGCAGAAATCTCAATGATAGATATGCTGATTCTCCTGTCAGGCACTATTAAGCTTAAACCATGTCAAAAGATGAATGACTCTTAACAGGAGGGCGTGTCAGAGGAACATGTCATTCCACTCTCTCCCTGCATGGGTACAGGAGTTACTACAAGAGATGTGAATGTTAAGAAAACACTGGAGAATCTGAATCTGATGTGTACTTTACATAAGAAAAAAAAACTGTGAATTCCTCATTTTAAAAGTACAATTTTAAAAAGAGTAAAGCAGGTTGTTGTTCCAACAGCATGCTGCTCACCTGCTCCGTGTGCTTCAGTGTCTCTTTCCTGTGGCTCACTGTCCTGCTCTGGTTCAGAATCAGCACTCTCTTCCAATTCCTCACTTATTTGGCCAGATTCTTGGGCTTCTATGACTCTGAAAGCAGGTTTTGTTTTTAATTGACATGTTATGAATACATCTTCAATTCCCAGTTTAACGCCAGAGTCGCAAAATCGCTTTAGAGTAATTTATCTGCGCACAGAAAGTTCTTCAGTACAGCAAGTTCTTCCTCTAACAGCAATTTTTGGAAGTCCTTTTTTAAGCACATACTGTACATCAATGTACATCCCACCATAATTTCATGTTATGTGCACACTCAGTTTGTGTGAAGGGGTAAGTATTTACCTTTGTGCACGAGCAGCAGCTCGTGTGAGATAGCGTCGTTTTGCTACTCTGTAATAAAGGCAAAAACATTTTTTTTATTACACTTTACGAGCTATTGCTTTCTAGACAGAAGAACTGAAATTAATACAATTTAAGGACTATGAACTGCTTGTAATATTAATAATAATATCAGTATTAATAATACACTAATAATACTCTTAAAGGTGTTTCATTGTAGGCTAATGGTATTTTTTCAGTGGCTAAAGATATTGTACTGCACATGGCAGTATACTGTATGTTAAATTCTCCTGCAATATTCTTTGTGATTTATGTGAATGCTTGAAAAGGAGAATATTACTTGTGTTTTTGTTTATCCATCCTGCGTTTTTGTTGAGTGTGGCTCTCAACCTGACCGTTGCTTTTGGAACTCTTGCTGGACAGCACTGACTCCTTTGAAGAGGGCACATCTTCCTCTGGATCAGACACAAAGTAGTTATCCACTGCCAGGCCTGCAGCGTCTTGCTCCCTTTGCGCTGGGCTCATTGTACTTGGATTTACTGTTTCTGGTGCATTAATGAGAGAAGCCTACACAAAATGGATTAAAGAAATGAAGAGTGATTTCTCTATCATCCAATAATGTTTGCCTTCCACCTGCCCCATCTTGTACAAATTTGACTTAGATAACTGGCTAAAAGTGTAGAAAAACATACAGTTACACCTCCTTCTTCTTTTCCTGTGGTATCTGCCTATAAATATTCATTCTACTGTACATAGCTTAGAATTCTTGAGTTTAATGTCTTAAAAGTCTTAAAGGTTATTGTGGTATTACGTTGCCTGCATTTAAGATGATTCTCATAAACAAGCATTTAATTTTATGGGTTTCACAGGATTACTGTTTAGTCAGCTGAAACTAAAATAAAAGAGCTGTAAGTGGTTAGACAAGGGAAACCAATTTCCATGTCAGCTTTCCTGTTCCCACTCACCTGCTCAGATGTCCCAGATTCCTTTTCTGGCCACACTACGTATTCCACTGCAGTAATTAAGCCCTGTATGGCTAAACGCTTGTGCTCCCTGTACTGCAGACTATCCATTTCCTTCTTAAGCTCTTTGGTTGCAACCACTGGAACTTGAGCTAAAAAAGATTTTTCCAAATAAAATGAGGAGGCAAAAATGATTCAAGGCTAAGTCAAATCCTATAAAAAACAGATCCAATCCCAGTTTAACAGGACAGCATACCTCTTTCAATATGAACCATATTTTTTTATTCCAGCTGTCAGATATAGAATAAAATGTGAACATATTTGCACAGTACAAGCCTTCTTAAGAACTGGGAGAAACTATTCAACTAGTGCAGTTAAACTAGTGAAAACGGGTAGTAAAGGCCTGAGCAGAAATGAAACATCTGCAGACACATTGGCCATCCAGGACTGGACTGGATACTCCTACACTACACTAGAGTACGAAATACATAAAGTAAAACTTATTTGCGGTTTACTCACTACTTTCCATTTATAAACTTTTCTCATTACTGTTATTCCTGAATCTCTCTTTTAAAATGCTTGATGTTGACAGGTATAACTTAAAACAGAAATAAACTGATTAAAATGTGTCAATTGCTAGTTGAGATCCAATGCTTTTTCAGTTAAGCTATTTTTATTTGAGCTTCATAACCAATTCTAATTACAAACCATAACAATAATAAAAGCACCGTTTAAAGGGACAAAATGCTGGTTACTCAGCAAATGTACACTCCAACGCTTGTGACCGTAGTGTAAACATTTATATTATCTTGGTTTAGCATCTTTGTTTTGATTGTGTCTCGCATCGGACACTGTGACCTCTCACCTGTACCATCTGTAATGGTCTGAGTAAACACTGGAGGGGCTGGTGGGAAATAATAATGCCCTCCAATCACACTCCTCTTTAGCGCACCAGCATCTGTCTGGGTTTTGGTCCACTGGATAAAGCTCTTCACCTGGGGATTGGAAGTGTACGGCTGACCCTTGTGACACCCTGTGAACAGATAAAAATAAAAAGGTTCCCACACTTCATTTTGACACTTCAAGCATGTGACAACGATACCTGAACTTTGAAACCACACTTGATTAACCGTTTATATTAACCCTTAATTATATTAATAAATTAATATAATAATTTATATTAACCCTAAAAGTACAGTAATGTACTTTTTTAATTTTAATACCAATCTACACATCACACCATAAAATAATTTGATATGCGATCCAAATGAGCAGAAAAAAAGAGCAGTACTTCAATAAAACCTACCAGTTATAAATATCTGAGTCTCATTGGAACTTGTGAGGTATGGCACACTATGACTTGCGTCTCGGCAAACTCTCATTTGAGTGCATACGAGGAATGTCACTGTGAAAAGAGGTGAAAAGATTGTAAATTAAACATAAATAAGCTTCCCTCAAGTAAGACTGTAACAATACTTTCAATTATAAGAAATTAGGCCATTTAATTTTTAACATTAACAATAATGAACATATAGTAAAAGCTTGTGTTTCATTTGTGCAAAATGATTTATTTAAAATACTATCTCAATATTTCTTATGATCTAACAGTTATAACTGCTAAAATACATTGGCACTAACATCTGAAAACATATGCTTCTAATCCTTTTGGTTAAATTTATTTGCTACACACTACTTAGTAAATCTGAAGATGCATTTTTAATAAATATAGCAGAAGATTTTAATCACTGTAATGACAGGTTATTTCTGTTTAGGACAGAAAAAAATGCTGTTGCATGTAAACAGTAAATGGCCATTTACTTGGTTGTATCCTGCTAAATATCTCAGGTTGTGAGGTTGAAAAAATTTCCAGAATAAATGGGGTATCTGATGTTCCGTCCATGGCATGCACCCAACGATACGTCCAGTATTTTTCCTGGTCTAACAAAATTTAAAAAAAGCCATGTCAGTTCATGAAAAAAGGTATAAACAAGCAAGTAAGCACTGACCATCAGCTTCCGAGAAAGCTTAATTAAGTGTGAGGCAAAAACAGCTTTGACCCTATTTAGAGAATGATGAAATAAGGTGCACTATTTTCCTCTCTCTAACATCTGCTGTGTATTGATTCCTTATGCATCACTTTAATATTGTTTATGTAGAAACGATTAAGCTTGGTTACCGAGGATGCAATGAATATATGTATTCTACTCAGGAAAGCAGAGGCCCAAAATATGACAAATTGCTGGAACTGACATTTCATTATAATAAGAGCAAACCACGAAGGAAGGGAAACAATGCAATCATTTAGAAACTGTACAGACATTATAATACTGAGAAAGAAATCCTTGAGAAGGTTATCTTACTAGATTCAAGCAATTTGGCTTTGTTTGTAGTAATAATCACATAAAAATGCTAGGACTATGGGCATATCAGACAACATTGAAACAGTAGTGATAACATTACTTTTTCAGTGAAATGTGCTAGGAATATCTGGACTTGTTCAAATAAATATCCATTTCCAGCTATGCCACGAATCCAGATGAAGGGAGAAGATAACACTCAGATTGCTTGCACACCTTTTCATACTGTAAATATTGAATGGTCTTTCTTGAGATTTGTTTTCACACATGGCAGCAGGGAGATATTTTTTTAAAGAACTTTAAGATTTTTTTTAAAAATCAACAGCACTAACCAGGGGCACCTTTTGTCTTAATTCTCTCACACCGTCCAACAAAGGTGACAAGTCCAATGACATCACAAGTGTGATTATGGGGTAAGCCGTCCAGTTCTGATCTAAGAGTGGAAATAGCAAAATTACTAAACTACTTCAAAGTTGCAAATACAAGAATAGCATGCAACTACATATTACAAGGACGTTTCAAGTTCCTTGGAATCAAGTGTTAAGGAAAAGAAATAAGAATCTTAGTAACCGTTACTTTATTGATTTAATAACAATAATGAAAACATTTTGACTATGCAGAGTTCCTTCCTAGTCCTATTAACATTAAATAAGAGCTCTTAAACATCCACATGGTGTGTACTTCAATATCTGACAGGTAGATGGAGAAATGAAAAGAGGCATCAGAGTTGATACTACTGTATATTTCCCTGTACGGTAAGAAATGTTTACAACTACAGGTAGTCCAGCTTCTATCATTCATAAAACTCCCTTGCTAAAACACACTAGTGGAGAAGGAAACTATCTACATATGAAGACGCCTATTGCAGTTATTCATTTCAATAGGAATGAATATGGGGTCACTTTCAGCTTCCATTTCAGAGATTTATTTCAGCTTCAGAAAAGGAAGCATTATAAAAAAAGAATATAAGTAGATCACATTACAACATATTAGGAACAGGGAAACAAGAAATCAAATACATTTCATACACACTCTAAGATTCTAACAAAAGGTTTCTGTCTTCATGTAGACATCCTTACACCCAAAGGCAATTTAATCCAACCATGACTATCGTTGCACATGGGAGGGGGGGTAAGTAATTAAAAAATAAGAATTATCAACCAAATCTCAAATATCAGGTCATGACATCATCTTGCTATGCAAACAGATTACTACAGATTAACAATTATACCTTCCATACAGCACATGGTATTCACCCAACTATAACACAAAATGTGTGTTCTTATTTCTCCAGCTCGGTGATGCAGTAATAACCAGGGGGCAATTTTAAATAGGTCACAACATGTATTTTCAGCAATATATTGAAATGTACACTTAACCAGAACCATCCATACCTTGTGATAAAGTGGTATGAGACATCTGGTAATTTCCATTGCTCTAGGACATCCTTCGGTGGTATTATGTTGATAATAGCTGCTGGATCTCGAGGATTCAGGGAAATTTCTTAAAATCAAATCAATCAGCATCATCACAACAAAACTCTCAGAGTAATAGGACAATTGAAGAACACGTGTTGCAACAAAACCAAACGTCATAAAGTGCCACTATACAGGTTAAACTAACAGTATTGCACTACTGAAGAAAAATAACCAAGATTAAAAAAGTACTAAACAATCCACAAACTGCTTATTAGTAATAGAGCAGTATGGGAGATATGGACCAACTGAGTGTGTACAGTACCTACTGAAGTGAAACGCTGTAACTGACTGTCTCCCGGTGTGGGTCTCGTCCTCCACTGGTAACTTTGCTTGAGGCCGTAGCTTTGGAGAAAGAGCACGGTGCCCAACTTCATCCTCTGATACCACTCAGGACACAAGGAGTTCCAAAGTACCAAAGACATCATCCCACTCTGGTCTGCCACTTCAAAATATGCCTGCATCCCAAAAGGGGAAAGGAACATTCCAGTGGAATGAAATTCATTAAAACCCTCCTTCCTGTTCAAGTGAAGTGTCAAGTGTCCTTTCTTATTTTGGATATAACACTGTACAACACAGTGTGTGAAGACTTTCTACACACAATTGAAAGAGATAGCCAGACACAGCCGGGCTGTTGTGTCTTTCTTAATTTAGAATAATGATTCTCAAACTCTGCATTTCTATTCACTAAACATTGAGAACGTGTCAGCAAATCAGAAATGCTCACTTACATGGAGCTCATGCACATAACTTCAAACCTGATCGGATAAAACCTCAACAATGTAGGTTTGAGCATTACAGTTTGCAGAAAAAATGAATGCAGTTCTGATGAACACTGTACTAATGCTTTTATTCTTTACCTGATATGGGACATCAAGCTTTGTTTCAGGTTTTCCATAAAATCGCAGCTTAGATTTATGCATTATTCTCACAAGCAAAGGCAGATTCGGGCACCTGGTGCAAGACTCCAGCTCAGACAGAGAAATAACTTTGGAAACTGTTCAGAAACAAAACAATACACAAGTTTTAAATGACATTATATTATAAATTATATAATAGATTTAACACTCATTCATCTAGACAAAATATTTACATGAAGCCGTATGAACTGTTTAAACTGGGGAAGAGTAAAATACACATGATACCAAACGAGGTTTATGCGTGTGCAGAAAAACAATGAGTCATAAACACTTTCTTGGTCTAATGCACAGTACCGTAGGTTTCATCTGCGATTAAAATGTAACCTTTAGTGAGCTGGAAATCATCTGCTTACCATCCACCATGACATCTCTTGGTGGAACGTAGGGAATCCATAATTCTCCGTATGGATCCTCATTATTCCACAGGGGCAAATAATGCTTTCTTCCGAACTTAAGAGGAGCATCGTTTTGCAAAACTGTCAGATTCATCACTCCTTGTTTTGACCACACAGGTAGACTAAATACATCATTCGTGACGTAGAGGATGTTGGAATTTTGCGAGCCGAATTCAACTTGCTCAATGCAGACCGAGCCCTGCCCCAGCCTTCTTTCGTCGTAAACGAACGAACACTTCGTTATCCTTATTTCTATTCCAGTGCGAAGCTTGTTTTTGTGAACCAGATGGTTCAGATCGTGTGCGAGATGGCATTTGGCCCGACAAACCCCGTCGGTGACCGTCACATCGAAACAGTAGCTGTGTGGAAATTGGTTGTTGTTTGAGCTTACTTTAGGTTCTGTCAAATACCTTTGTACTGCCACAACGGCGACAAACTCGGCATTGTCGTTCTCTTGTCTCAGAGCAGTAGAAGCCACTAATTTGTCAAAGGCCACCCATATCGGAGATCTCTGGGCTACAGCAGAACTCGAAGAACTGTCTCCGACTTCAGGCACCATGTTCATGCTTGATAGATAAGCGCCAAGAAAAATGCCGGTGGAAAATACTTGTTGCAGATGTATATTTTTAAGGCGGCTGTAAATTTATTTCAAAATATAATGTTTGAAGCAGGTAAACGTCACCGCATTTTAATTTAAAAAAAGCTTCCTCTTTAATATAAAATCACACTAATTTACGGCGCAGGTTTAACTATTTAAACTAGTTTGAACAATTAAGTGTTTTAGTTTCACATCCATAGTGCCTGTATAAAGCAAGTGTTACGTTTCTGTCGCATTTCTAAAATCTTCCGAACGGTACATACAATAGATTAATGAGTTTTGGTTTTGTAACTCTGACGCCCACACATTTTCAGTAAAATGTAACACTTTCCCGACGTGCTTATGTAAAGAGCGATTGTTAAAATTATAAACCTGTAGCACGTTTCACCTTGCTATATAGTAGCGGTTATTTTCTTTACAAGACAAATGTAAACACTTTTTGACTCGGACGTTAATTCAAACTGCCTTTTTCATCCCAGGCCTCATAATCGAGCACAGATCGTCGCGGATCTCTGCTGATTTGAATTTCTCCCCCTTACCGAGCTTCCACTTCTGACGTGTAGATGGCGTATTGAATATTGTGCTTCGTTTTTTTTTTCTTAAAAAAAAACAGAACAGCAAACGTGTTTTTTTTTAGTACAGGCGAAACCACATTCTTCGAGGAGCAAAAGGTGCTGTAAGAGGCGAATGTTTTCATCCTATAAATCTAAAGTATATGTAACTATCATTTGAGTCACCTTTGATAAACAAAACAACAAAATGGAGCTATCGTTTGCTTCTACTGTATGCTTCATGCTAATACCTAGAAAACAGCCAGATCTCAGTTTTATGGTTGAGTAGAAAAAACAGTAAAACGTTCATTTCTAAAATCTCCACCAAGGAACGACTGCCCAACTATTCCGTTTTTGTGAACTCCCTTCGGAAAAGTGATCCACGTTTTTTTTTTTTAATCTAATGCTTTATTCCAAACAAAACAGTGCTGAGTAAACGGATATCGGAGACAGTTCAATTATAAAGTACTATACTACGGATCGATGTTGTGGTGATGACCTTATACATTCATTGTATATACTTTGCTTCTGCTTTTGTCAATTGTACTCTACATTCTTGAATGGAATATGAATTTACTGCATACTTTGTAACTGTTATTTTGTATGCGAATCATATGTGCTTTATATCACTGAAAGAAGTCCTGGATACAGGAGTTTGTATTTGGTAGATCTGGTTTGTAACAATGATATATATATACAGCACATGAATATATAGTGTATATAGAGCTTCCACATTTACTCAATCTGCTCAACCGCATCTCTACAGCAGCAGTCCGCGCAGACGCTGCAGACAGTGACGTCACCTGCAGTTTTGCGCTGTCTCGCAGGCGAAGAAAAAAAAATCTCACTTGTAGTCTGTCCACACACTGCGTGTGGCAGTAGCCAGCATCCACACTTTACTGCCCAGGAGAACCCGCCTATCCCGGAAAACCCGAACAAGCGAGAGCTGCGGAATCGATGGGAGTTCTGCCGAAAAACACGATTCGAGAAAGATCAGGAGCTGAAGTTCTTTTAATACCCTTGACGTGTATACACGCCCTATTCTAAATTTGCTGATTATTTGACACTGGAAAGAGGAGCACGTTACAGGACGTCCTTAAATCCGTACACTTATATAGCGCTTTTCTGGACAATCCATTCAAAGCACTTTACAGGTAATGGTGACTCCCTTCCACCCTCACCAATGTGCAGCCCCACCTGGTGTCCCCGTCACTATACTGGGGCATTAGGACCCACACAGACCGCACGGTGAGCGCCCTCTACTGGTCTCATTAACACATCTCACTAACGCAGCAACCTTCGCTTTCCCAGGTACTGTCTAGGCTCACACCTGCCGAGCTTCAACTCTATGTATTCTGTCACACATACTGTATTTGTACATTAAAAGCACAGAATAACTTTCAACAAGATTTATTTCACACACTGCTGTTTACATATTGGTAACACCCGCAAAAGTGTTTTCCTGATTTAATAGGAATAGTGCATGACATTTTGGATATGCTCGGCACAAACTTTTATAACAATTTTTACAAATTGAGGAGAACAAAAAAGTTTTGGGATTATAATTTTAAAACAATATCAAGTAAATGATGATAATTTAATTAAAATGGCTTTGTCCTATACACAATACTTTATATTGGTAGGAAATCAATCACTGAATTTAATGCTTGATTTTTTAAAATAGGTTTTTGTTCAAGTTCTCAGTTTCCTTAACTCCAATGTTAAAACCCGCAAACCATTTTTAAGCAAGGAAACCTCTTAATACATTAGTTCCCCAAAGTCACATACAGTATATAAAACATTTAACTGTAGTAATCTTACCCTTCAATTATTGCTGGAAAACATGGAGCTTTACTGTTGTGCAGTTACTTAATTCAACTTTTTTATTGAAACAATATGTTTAAGTGTACAAATATGCAGCAGGTCTCAGCCATTAACTTTGAAGTCTCTTAATTAACTAAAAAATATAGACAAACAGACTTGATAAGCTGAATGAGATTGTTGCATCTTCAGTTCAGGTAAATATAATGAACACTAACACTTAATTTAAACATGGAAAATGTAATAGAAACAAAGAGGTACAACCTTTTATTATTCCACAATCCTCTAACCTGCCTTAAATCCTGCATCAACATACACAGTTCCTCTCTAACACATCTACAAAACACGTTAATGCCATCAAGTTAACTTTTTTCTACAAAGGTGATATTTTTCCTTTTATTGCAGAAGTTAATTCAACCATTTCAAAGCAGGAAACCTATCACATCACTCAGAATTTCGCCAAAATCTCCTTCATCCTGTGAAGTACTCTTTAAACCTGGTTTTATGTTAACATATTCAACATATTTCTTAAAGGTCCATTATCTTTTTTTTTACAGATATTTTAAAAATAATTCAGAACAATGAAAAGCAACAGGTCTATTAAAAGTACTGAGGCAGTAGTAAATTTACCTACATTACAAAATCATTACAGCATTGCACACAGCATTTTTCATCTAGAATTAGAATTATTTTAAATTAACTGTTTTTGGAAAGTAAATATAATGCACGGTTATCCTTAAGGGTATTTACTTTAATGTTACCCTATGAACTAAAATGATTATTTTTACTTTTCAGTTTCTTTTCAATTGATTTTAAACCAGCCTCCATTTGGCTCCCTGAAGGAAGCAGGGGAACCACTGTATACTAGATTGCATTGGAGCTGGTACATTGCTGTGAATACAGATATTTAAGACTTTGTCTTAATTTGGAAGTCTATCCCTTAATACTACATTTTCACCTGAAGGGTCTGATAATCAGAGTTGTTCTAAATTCATAATTTTTATCCATTTCTATAACTACTGTAGCATGGTGCATCTTTATAAAAAATAATGAATTTTAATTTCAGTACCTCAGAACACTAATGGCAAACAAAATGCTATGTTGGCTGATCATGACCCAGCACCAGCATTGTCTATTTACAGTGAATATAGAGATACTTGTCAGTAATAAAATAAAATGTTAATAAACACAAGTCTTATAAAGAGTCCTTTTACTGCTTTTAAATACTTACAGAACCAGCTGCTGAAATTATCCACCTGTACATAAAACATTTTCTTCACTACTAATATGAAGTGTGAGGTTGTGCTCTACCTAGTGGCAAAGCATAGTATTTAACAGTTTTTCAATTGGAAAAAAAAAACCCACAGTCCATAGTGAAATTTTAAAGTTACATATCGAAAGCCTTGCTCAGTTGTACAACTCACGAGTGTTTTATCTAACACATACTGTAGTACAAACTGTGTTGTCCTCAAGCGAATGTTTCAACATAAAATACAATCCACTTCATGCACCTTAAATGACAATTATCTTAAAGTGAAAATTAAAATGGTGAAAATTTTTTTTTTCTTAGAAGATGGATCATCTCTATAATTCTCATCAACTAACATGGACTATTTTTTCCAAGCAAATTTAAAATGCTTTATCTTAGATTAAGCATCTTAAGTGCCTTCATTGATATATACAGTATTGTATGAAACCGAAACGTGTAATGATAACAATAATACGATTTGCCACTTGTGCTCTAATGGTAAAAAAAATCAACAGCTTGCACTTTGACAATGAACTCCATGCAAATTTAGACTGATTTATGTTGAAAAATTATCAGTTTAAGATAAATCCTTCAAAATTGAATAAGTCGTTCTCAGTCACCTCTGTGGTTTTTAACAATGTTTCATCGTTCTGCAGTAATTAATGGCACTTCATTATCCTTTCCGAAAAGTCTCCTTTTCCAGAAGTAAACAGATACAGTAATAAAGTGCCTTCACTTTGTTTCAACCAGAGAGACAGCTTTCCCTAGTTCCAATCTTTTTCTCTGTTTCAGTAATACTGTAGAATATTTAGGAAGACATTTAAAATTAATACCATTTTAAAATAATATTATTTTTTTTTATATCGGCACTGCTACAGATAAAGGATTTCAGATAAAAATGATACATTATAACAGTGCAAAAAGACAAAACTATTAAGAACACTTCATTATACAAGGAGTCAACCAGCTAAAATATAATGTGTAAAAACAGTGCAAAAAATGTACATTTGCGAATGTACAAAGAGACTTGGTGTGGGCTAGTGTAGCTTAAATGTTTACCTTATAAACCAGTGCAATACACTGCCTCATACTTTAGAATGCTGTCTGGTAACTTCATAGATCCTATTATAGTTGTCTACAGCGATTTCCAACTAAGTAATGATTTAACTTGTATTAATGCTTTTTTGTTCTTAATGCTAACTAACTCATAATGCCTTGCATTGCTAATGCTAATTAGAAGTAATTAAATAGCTCTAATTGATAAACTATGGGCATAAAACCTAATCTCTGTGCTGTGATAAATGATAACTGCAAGGCTACACTAAAATTGTTTTGTAATCCATTACTGCAACCTTAGATTAAGGACTAAAGCAAGAGCAAGTTTAAATTTATCTTTTGTTTAAGTTTCAATTAAATGTGTATAATTTAAATGGAAGTGCTTTAAGACCTTTGTGCAGTTGAATTTCAGCAAATGGTGAAAACAGACCTTAACTCTCAGACCTAATTCACAAACTGCACATTCTTCATACATTTCTAACTCATTATGTACTATAGATTTTTGACTTACAGTGGATCTGCAATTTTTCTTATCTAATTAACTGAACTTTCTGAGGTATATATCTAGTGCTTTACAAACTGCTTTTTTAACTATTGCACAAACTACATACCAATTACAGCAATATATACTTTGTGGCCCTGCGGTCGAGAACTTAAGGAAAGTATTAATGCTTATTACAGTACTAGTTGGCTGTGCCAAGGTCCTCCATAAGGGAGGACTATAAGTTTATGCACTTTAATGCTTATGGTTGTTCAGAACAGCTGTGCATTTTTAAAAGATCTTTTGGCGCAATGTTTTATTGAGACTCGGGTGTGTCTATGCTTCAGCTTTGTAGGAATCAACTGCAGGATAGACAGGATGAGAAACTGGCTGTCTGTTGCAAGAAGTCTTCTAGGGAGCACTGTCTCCAGTGCTCTGCTAGGTTCTCTTCCTTCACCAGTGGAATAGGGAGTTCTGCCCAAGTGTCATAAAATAAATTTGGCTGCTTCCACCCGACTGGACTGAGGCAAAAAAGACCTGAAAACAAGCACACATACAGATGTAATTATTATGTGCACAGATTTCTGATCTGAGACTGCAAATAGTGACTAAAAAATGGAATGTATGTTATTACTGCCGACTTTGGGATTGTAGAGAATTATCAAAGAATCAGGGTATTTTTAAATCTCTGTATTATGACATTTTCTAAATGAAAAAAAAAACAGGTGGTACTCTCACACACTACTACTGTTTGTATGTACATTTAACAAATGCTGGTGGTGTCAAAAATCAAAGTATTACTTTCGAAGGAATAAGCAACAGAAGTAAATTCTACTTTAATGAGGGAGAAAGATTGGTACAACTTTAACAAAAGATCAAACTTGAATGGCTTTTTAAGTTATAAATCAAAACTGTAATACACTTCAAAACAGATTATTAAACATTTTTATTACTGTCTGTTAATGTTTTGTTATTACTGTGATTAACGAACGATAAACATTCAAATGTATTACCACTTTTTCACTTTTCACTTTTTTTTAATTTTCATATTTATTGTAAATTAAATATTACTGGATAAGCAAATGAAAGTAAAAGTATTAAGTCAACTTTCACATGATTTAAAAGAGCAATACATTTATTTTTTAACCAACAGAGAACACATTGTCATTCACAATGATGACTGGGAGACTACTCATTTACAGTAAATGGCTATGTAAATTTGCTATGTAAGGCACCTTTCTTTAAGGTACAGAGTTGCCTCTTCCAGTTACAGGACATGACCACAGCCCTGCTAAAATACCAGTTCATGGTGACTTTACACTTGGAAATCTTTTAAATAGTACAAAAAACTCAAACTTTTTAAATGAAGCCCGACAAAACAAAATGGTTTCCTGAAAGATCATAGCAACAAAATAGACAATTAATGATAAGATCTACTGATAAAACTCTAAAATAATATAAGTAAACATGTATTTGTTCCAACTACACCAACAAACCAACTAGAACCCCAACAAGAAAAGAAAAGCATAGGATTTCATTTAAAAATCTACAATATATTGGCAAAAATCACCAAAGAGCAAAAAGGTATAAGAGTAGTGAACAGTATAACAATAGTAGTGAAGTTATTTACCTTATCATTTCTTTCACAAAGAAATTTCAATTTTTGTGCCTTCTTGTGCATGAAGACTCCTTCTAGATTTGCCGTCTCCACTGATCTCAGCTCGATGGCTTTGTCACCCCAGCCCATGACCTGGTTTGACTGGAGATAGGCTGCAAAAATAAGACACAGTGCGAATGTATAAAAGCTTTTAGTCTTGCTTTTTGTTTAAGAGCACTCTGGGACAAAACACCCGTTTTTTCATAAATGACCTGGGATAAAATACCAGCTGCCATTTAAAAAAAATCAATAGCTCCTGTTCAAAGTACCTTTTATCAAATATATACTCCGCCTGCAGTTTCTTACACTATTCATTAAAAGCCAAGTGTCTTCTTTTGCTAAATCCCTGTAGAACATGTGGTTCCATGATTAATAGGGAGGTCGAAGGGCCCAACAAAATGGGTCTCCTCAAACATCTTATTTTTAGACCCAGTGCCCTAAATCTGTCAAAAAAGGTTGAATCTTACTTTCCTCTTTTATATCTCCACTCTCTACCCATGTAATATTTAGTATATTACAGATTACTATAAGGAGATCTAAAGAAGAAATAGCAAAGATGAGCAAATGAGCCTGAGATTTGTTTCGCCTTTTGTCCCTCTTAAATATGCGAGCATTTATGTATCCATAAAATTAAATCACATGTACAGGTAGTAGCTGAGTGCCAAAAAGTCACTTTTTCTCAATCTTGTGAAAATACTTGTGCAAGGAGATAAAGGGAACTCCACTGAAATTCTCGTTTCTCATGGTACGTACCAACAGAGGCAGGCATCTCTCCCCACTGCAACACGGTCTCTTTAATGATTCTCCCATATGTGTCAATGTAGACCCCCTCATCCTCATAGCACACCAACACTTCCATGCCATTGGAGTTGGGTAAAATGATGATAGCATGAGGGTGAATGCTTCCCTGGATCTGAAACAAAAGGCATCCGTTTTAACCAGACAATCAAAATGACAAGCCAGCATTACCAATTTCTTTCATGAGCACTTTCAAAACCACAGAAGTACTGTACCAGCTTATAATTCAACAGCTGAAACAGTATTTCTGAGAGATTTGATATTCAGAAGCAGGCGAATGTCTGTGACAGCACTGAAACGTCATAGATTTAACCAAACTAAGCTTGAAATGTTTCACAATCTCTCTTAATGATCCCTACCTGCTCTCTTATTCTTTTCGTTGAAATATACATTACATTGTATTTGTGCAAACATTTAACAATTGGGAAAAATAACAGGATTTATTTTTGGTTCTCAAAAGCAGAATCTTTAACCATTTACTAAACCAATTAAACAATCACGCAACAGTTCACTTAATGCTTTGCACCATGGGATTCTTTAATTAATTACAAGCCACTGGAGAGACAGCACAACTCAGAAACAGCTGTCTTATTAGAAGAAAGACAATCAGTAATCACGGCAAATCATGAATCAAAGACAATGCAGATAAAATCAGAAAATCATAATACTGCTAAGCCGTGAATAAGACATTTTTATATAAAAGTTAATGATGGTCGACTGTGCTAGTTTTTGTTATTACACTTTCAGTAAAAATGATTTGTTAAAAGATGAGCCTCAATTCATGGCAGAGAGTTTGGAAAATGAATGAAGTCATTTTTAACAGTGCAGAATATCACCTTAAAAAGGATCCATTTTAGCCGCTTCTGGAAAACTGTTTCTTAGATCAGAAGCTACGAGATAAGCTCTGCACACACCCACATGTTCATACCCACAGGCACACACTCATGATTGCTGCTGAAAGCCATGCATCTATGAAAGCCATGCAGTGTTTGTTAATAAGAAAGATGATACGGAATCAAACATTATACTTGCCCCACTGAAAGCCTGTTTCCCACATAAGAAACTGTCCCTCTGCTCTGCAACCACTATCCTTAACATTAAAACTGGCATCCAGAGCCGAAGAGCAATTTTGATACGCTGCCTTGGTATTCTCATGAGCCAACAGCGGAGGGAAAAGAGTGCGAGGAAAAGTCAGTCTGTGTGCGCGCGCAGAGGAGTGGGAGAGATCGAGAGAGTGCTGTCCAGTGAGTTTCAGTGCAATGCAGGCGATTCCAGCTCCCAGGCTGAACTTGAACCACCACTGATCTGGTGCTCAGTAAAAATATTGATTTAAAAAAGGGGGGAGAAAAGACAGCAGCTAAGAGAACATTTCACCAAGAGCATTATTTTAAGGGAGGTGTTGAGGTAGGGGGGTTGGGGGTGGGGTATTTTTATCACAATCTGTTTTGCTGAAAAGTAGCACACAGGGATAAAGATGTTGGGCCAGGCAGGACAGCCAATCGAAGCTATCTGGGGCATATCACTTGGAGAGATGTTATCTAGATGGATTAAGAGCTAATTATAGTGAAAATAAAACTTTTTCTACTTAGTGCCTCTTCCTTTATGTGTGCACTGTGCTAGCATACAGTGTGTGTTCAGAATGCTAGTTTTGATCATGTCCTGCACTTCGATAAAAATAAATTTTGGGAGATGGCATCTCATTTATACAATGAGCTTGTGTGCCCTGCTGAGTAGTGACAGATTATAAACTGCCCTTCTTGTAAAAGAATTAACAATAAGCAACACTTCACACTCTTGGTAAACTGCAGAACTGTGCATCCAGATGGCACAATCTCTTATCAATGTCTTCCAAACCGTACCTGTTATTCTTAGAATATTCTTAGAATACAGAAGACAGCTACACATATTAATGAAACAAAAAAAAACACCAACACGTACACACTCTCCTCTTCATATTTCATCTGCAATCTAAAATACATGCTATCTTGCGAACTAGGAATGCACTGCACATTAACTGCACATATTGCCATATTTTTTGACAAGAAAATTAAATTAACAGCTTGAATCTTGAATCCAGCAAAGATGGCGTGAAATTGTACTGTGACTCACGTGTGTTGGCAGGTAGAGATCATAGGTAGTTCCCGAATCAACATCGATGGCGTGAAAACCAGACACTGAGCCATAAATGACCTTTAACCTCACTCCTTCTTCCACAGTCAGGTCCACTGACAAAGGCTTGTAAGCAAGTGAAGAAAAGGACTGCACAAAATAAAACAGGAGGTATTAATACACTTAATATTAATAATAATCCCTTAAATTTACAGACCACCATCTCAAGGGATCCTATAGTACTTTTGTATAGAAGACAGGATCAACTTCATCTACTACTGAAATGCAGCAACCCACCTACTGTAGGTGATGCGTGGAAATCATTACACACCAGCAACCAATATTCACTGCTGATCAGGTGGAGAATGGAGAAAATGCTTTATCACTTGAGTTAAGGAGAAACCTTAGCGAGGCCAGAGCATGCAAGCCCAGGCAGGTATTTAACCAGTACAACTGGTTAACAGCTTGTTAACACCCGTGTTCTTACAAATAGCGTCATGGTATTTTTTAATGACCAAGTAATCAGGATGGAGGTTTAGCATCTCATCCAAAGGACACCACCTCCTGCAGCTTAGTATCCCCTGTCACCATATAGGGGCATTGGCTTTAGCAGTTCAGGTCCAGAGGAAAGCCTACTGGTCCACCACCACCACCAGTTGCTGCAGCAACCTCCATTATTACCTTGGAGATCTTTCTTCCTAGTATTGATCAGGCCCAGCCCTGCTAAGGCAGGCAAGATCAGGCAAAAAGGGGGTAGAGGTACTCTCTCACGTCCTTAAGGAAAGACCAGAATTATAATGTGCTTTTGGGAAATGTAATACTAGTCTCATTTTGAGTTAGAATAAAGTATAAGATTGCAGGTTCATTGTGGCGTGGTGTCTCACCAGGTCATTTACTATATAGAGTGGTTGACAAACTTTCAAATGCGTTGTTTATTAAATTTTTGCAAAGACAATATACCTATTCTGAAAAATAAAAGTTAATTTGTTATTTTGTATTTTGATTATATTTTGCTTCAATCTTCACTTCCGTTGTGACATTTTGTTAAACAATACAGTGGTCACTGTAAAATTAAAAATGAATCTTGGTTCTATTTCCTATTAACCATGCATCAAAGAGTCAAGTGGTTTGATCAATGTAACTCACATTCTCAGTGCAATCATAATACATACAAGCAGTCGATTCAAAATTCTAGAATGTGGCACAAAAATGGATCATAAACACTATGAGGATTCTGCAACAGTGTCTTTTGATGAGAGCATGTTACTGTTTAAAATTGTTAATTAAAAGGCATGATATTGCACACTACAATCTAGGCTGAAAATATCTCAATCCACTGTGTGATGTATTATATATAATATAGAGCAGTTTTCCTTAACAGACGGAAACTAGTTATTATAGAATATTCTATCAAAAGTAGACCTTGCCCCTCAGGAAATTTCAGGAAATAGGACACTTTTCAGAAGGTGACCCTTTTTAACTCCACCACTCTGTAATTTCTTTGAGGATAACATTATGGTAGCCTAGATTTTCAATGGCAATGAAGTAGAAAGAAGTCAAACAAATCCAATTAAAAAAAAACATTTTAATATAGAAAAAGGAACAAACAATATTTGATTTCTGCTCCTTAACAAGAGAAAAGAGGCTGCAGTCCCACAGAATAACAACATTTACTGAATCTACCCCTTTTAGGCTTAGGTTGTTAAAGTTGATTATTTTGGACTTGCAGGCCAATGTCATTCATTTACTATGGAGCAGAAAATTGACCACAGCAAAAAAAAAAAGGACCAATGTGTTTTTTAACCAGGAAGAATTTATGCTGCAATAATACTTATTTGAAGATATTTATTTTTTTCTCAACTGTTTAAATGACTGAATTCTCATTCATAATAATGTGTTATATTTAAATAATAAATAATAAATTTGACATAATTTCTGTCCCACTTCAGCTCCCTCTCACTTTACACCCCTTACAAAGCTGCAGAATGTACATACAGTACTCACCTTAAAAGCCATGAATTTGTGGTATGGTTTTGGAGCCCATGCATACACTTCAACAGAATACTTCAAGGCAATCACAAGAAACTTGATCCTTTCGTACTTCACTAAAATATAAAGGGAAAGTAACTTCAAATCCTTATCATTATGAACTTATGATATTACACAATGTCAAACTGGTTTCTAATCGTATTGTTTGGGTTACTGGCCTACCTTTCTTAAAACACTCTAAGCAGCCAGTGTCTCCAAATTTGTGCAAGCTCAGTTTTGCACTGAGCCGACATTTGAGCTGCATTCAGCCCTTTAAAAAAACTCAAACTTTAGATGAAAGCTTGGCAAAGTGAAGTCATCACTGAGTAATACGTAATTAATTCCCAAAAGCTTACAGCTAGTATTTAAGTACTTTTGTTTTAATGATTCAAATTATTTATTTATCTTAATTAATGATATAATAAAACAATACAATTTCAACATCCTAATCATGATAAGAACTCACTAGGTATTGTGACAAAGGCTGACCTACTGTTACTTTGCTAGATGGGAAAAAGGCAACAATAGGACCAACAATAAACTTCTTCCAATACATCCTGTGTTAGGAATGCTGGTCAGTGTTACAATCAGGGAAGGAGAAAGCACTTTTGCTGAGGTCAGCATTACAGCAACCAGACTGAAATGTTATTTCAAGGATATAACTGTCATGCCTACTACTGAGACCTTTCACTTATTAGTAGTGGGACTACAATACATGTCTTAAAATAAGCAGTGAGATGTTTTAACACACACACACACACACACATAAAGAGTGAGGAACTGGTCAAGCTGATAAAGGAAAACAAAATTCTCTCCCTGTAGCTTTTAAAACAATCAAAGTTTCATTTAAAAGGGGACATTCTATTTACCTATGAAACACATGAGGCTTCAGCTTTAGAGATTAGTTTAATAAGGATTTGAGGGCATCTAATTGTTTTAATTAGGGGTGGTATTTGCTGAAAATATTTGATAATTTCTTTTTGAGGCAATAGTTGGTCAGTTAATCTGTGTATTTGTTCTTAGCAATCAAAAAGAGAACACCTTACCCAGGAGCACCTTCATAAACGCTAGGAACACACTTATAGTACTTCTATTGTACCCTTATGTTGGCTGAGCTGTGCTAAAATGACACAATCTTATTGCACGGTGTGAGAAAGTTGTCAATCAAAGCAGTCTGCAAAAATATCATGATGCTAATCTGCAAAATGTGTGGAACACAGGGAAACATTTAGTTAAAAACAATGTCCCCTAAATTCCTTAGTTGATGAATTGGCTTGATTCAGTTATTAATCAGAACAGCCCTAGTTTTAATCATTGATCTTTCTATTAACATGTGAACTTAACTTCTCTCACAGAGTGCCAGTGTAATGGTTCTATACGTAAGGAAGAAGTACAGAAATACAAGCATGACAGAAACAGAAGAAATCACTAACACGATATCATGGGAAGCTGGACTCACCAATTTTGTAATGCACACACCCTTCCAAGTCTCCCACTGATGTCCAGCCTTGCCTTTTCTCCACATCAGGATCGTTGCGCAAAATCTTGTTCCGAAGCCACGACAGATAATACAACCTCAGCTTGTTCTTTTTACCTGAAGTAAATAATTCAATATAGCTGTGAAAGGGGTGCCAATAGTAGATGGGTGGCAATCGTATGTATAGTATGCGATTAACAGCAGCAGAATTGTCGATACACAGATCTTTATTTAGCATTGAGAGATTCTCAAGGGCACCACTAAAACATATCCCATATGCTCATCGTTGGTTCACATTATACCATATTGGATCAAACATCAATAGCTGCCAACCCTTATGAACAGCAATTACACTTTGCTGCCATGGCAGCATTGGTATTGATGGGAAACTCTGTAACCGGGGCATGAATGTCCCCTGATACGACACAAGGAAGCATATGGAAGGTGCCACACATACAGTACAGAAGAGTCTGCCAGCTGGGCAGTCAGATAAAGAATTCCTCACTGATTGCAGCTGCATCTTAACAAGCATATTAACATGTTCCCAAATCCACCACCGGCGCTGACCTGAAATTGTAATGAGCACGTTCAGTCCTTCCAGTACGTCCATCTGCTGGAAGCGTCTTCTGCTAATGAGGGAGTAGACCTTCCCTTGACCGCTGCGGTCCAGCAGCCACAGCCCGTTCTCCGTGCCCACCAGCAGGTTCACGCCTGCCGAGAGAGAGGAGCTCATTGCCGAGAGGGTACGGCAGCCCTCAGAGGGCTGGATGCCCAGTCTCCGGTTTTCAAGGAGCCAAACATCTCCTTTCCCACGTTTCATTTCATTAAAAAGTGAACGTGACATAACATCTTCCTTGTGTATCCATTCTGTAAACGTTTAAGAGCTGCGCATTACTCTAATATGGCACAGTGATGTATACGGGAGCACTTCCTCTGCTAAGTGGAAATGGTGTCAGTACCCTCTGACACTACATTTTAGGAAGGGGTGCTTTTAAATGCAACAGTTACATATCGATATTTGTTAATTTACATTTTACCTCATAAATTTTACAATTCTCAACCCTTCCTTCAACTTCACTCAGTTGCTCTAGGCTGTGACTTTAATGTTAGCAGATACTGTATTGCTTTACTTAACTTCTGAACGACTCCTGGGTGAGTATCACAATACATAATTACAAGGATGAAACTAATCGCTTTTGAATACAATCGAATGTTAACCCATGCCATGTGTGATGGACTGGGTTGTGGCATTATTCTTTATTGCTCCACCTTATTTCCACAATCTTGCAGGAACAACAGAACAAGCTAATTGTTCTGAATCACAGGAATTATCTGAAAGATTCAATCCTACATCTCAATGAAATTGATTAAAAAAACACCTCAGGTTTACTTTTCTTCAGACAATAATGGGTGTCCTTCTCCAGGCTGTAATCTGAAGTTGACAGACAAATTTCAAAACAGTGCTACAGTATGTGTTTAAGATGGGTGGGTCAGGGTGCCTATGTACATATTTGGTGTTTACTCAATGATCAGGAACATTGTTGATTTTCACTCAAGCCCTCCTCTGAACTTCCTGATCACAAGATTTACCCCACAAAGCAGCACACAGGATCTCGGCATTGAATTTCTTCTTGTATTTGCGGATCTCGGGGGTGTCACTCTGAGGACGAATGTTGGTGGGATTCACGTTGACCACAGATCCTTTCCTGGCATTCTCCCTTCGGAATGGCTCTGCCTTACAGCCACCTGCAAGTGGAAATTGTACAGTAAATATCAATTTTTTTGATGACAGAAATGAATTCTTTCTACTTTGTGCTACAATGAACCCAACAAAAACAGAAAATGAAGTGCATCAATCAGAGAGTCATTCCAATTGGAATCAATTCACTTTATGATAGGATTACTTTGATCTGTTTTAACCTGACTTATAATTGCTTGGCTATACATACATTCATTTCCATGCTCTTTTACGTTATACAGTATGTCACCATTAACTACTGACTTTCAAAAGTAAGGTAACACCCTCCATCTTGTGAGAGGAAAAACAATGTACAAAACATGCAAGCCAAGCTACGTGTTTGTTCATTTAAAGATTCAATGAAGAAGCTCAGCTGGAATGAAATCCAGCAGGTTTGGGAGGTCGAGGGTCACGGCTGGAACCCCCACCACCCTGTCTTTTCAGAATTATTGAGGGGTCCCAAAATGTATTCACATTAACAACGAGCCCCCTGGATCCTTAACACAAAACATACAGCCTGAACATACACCATTAATGAGGATTCGTGCTGTTAAAGAGAAGGGGCTACTCCATTTGCACCTCTGCTAATGAAATTATTTATGGCATCTTCAATATCCAGTGAAACAGAAGCTCTGTGAATACTGTATGTGGCACCGAGAAGCATTTAATGTTTTATTCACATGCAGGTTTCGCATGTTCCTTTTCTTTCTTGAAATTCTGTCAGATCAGATATGTTTTTGAAACTTTTCTATTGCATGATGCCATCTGCTAAATCCAGTTAAAGTAGAAAACTTTATTAAGTCCCTACCTTAATTCAATATTAAGGTAGTGCAAAACAGAGTTCAGGACAAGATGTGACAGTTATTTATCATTGTGAATACAAACTACAAATACAACAGTAATTTGCCAAACACAAAGTAAAACTGCATTCACCCCTTCATCAATAATATGATCAAAATCATTGGGAGTGTTTTGATCACACACAGTACCAACGGAGTTGGTGCTTACCCTGTCTTATGGCATTATTGATAGTTTTACCATGCTAACTGTGTGAACATCACACAGTTCTCTTTGTTTTTCTAAACAATTTTATATTACATTTTGAATATTATATATTAAAGGAGGGTTCACTATGAAACAAAAGGATAAACATGGGTGTTTCGAGCACATTTTGAAAGTAGTTTTTGCAAAATGTGATCTAGTCATACTTTTTTTCATAAGAGCAATTTCTGCAGTGGGGTGAATCTGAGTGTGCTTAGGTAGGATCCCATGAAGGTCACTACCCACCCTAATTATATACGATTTATTGGCCGAACATTAGATGTTTGAAGTTGTGGTAATAATCTGATACACTGAAACAAATTTGCAAGGGTAAGACCTTATATTTACCACAGGCTGGAGTGTGAAAGATATGGGTTTACTCACTGGGACTTTGCCCCACAGGACTTTGGGGTGGGGAGATCTGCAGGAGTCGAGGGTCAATGAAGGGAGTGAAAGAGGAAGAGGAGGAAGAGGTGCTGTTTTTTCCTGGAGGGCTGCTAATGGGGCTCTGCAACACAGAAAACACAAACCCTGCTTTAACCAATTATTTTGCCTTAGTGACAGCAATACTGCATTGTATACAGTAAATTGGCCAATCCCATCTCTGAACGCCTGCTTAGCAATCTAGAGACTAAAAGCACAGCAGCACCCTCTGCTGTGTCAATAATTCATTACCTCGGCAAGGAATTTAATACAGGTTCATATTTTCAGTTTCTGTGTTTCAGTATTCATTAACTTTTATAAACAGCAAAGGAGAAGGTGACAGACTTGATATGAAAACATAACTTGAAAAAAAAAATAATTTGGCTCAAAGTCTTAGTTCAAAGACTTCTACTGTAGCTTATAAGGTACAGCCTTTAAACCTGGTTCCAAAATGTTGCTCTTCTATAGGAAACAGATTACATACGGTAAGACTAGAGACTAGTTGGAATGCTGACATTGAAAAAACACACTCATCCACCACCACATAGGTTTCTACTTGTCCTCCAGCCTTCCAAGTGCTTAACATCAGACCTGGAGAGTAGTACACTGTGGAATATACTGTAAGTAAAGTTGTGTGATTAAATTACAAATAGTCAGCAGCTGTGTGAGGACTCACATCCAGGCTGAGAACTCGGTTCTGTGGAGACTGAGGAGTGTGGGAGTCTCTCTGCCTGCTCTGGGGCTCGGGGTTCTCACTCTGCTGTAGGAGATCAGGGAGAAGGTAATTCTGATTGCATAACTCTAACGCCCTCTGCTGGTGGCTACTCTTTAGGTCAGCTACATTCTGCTAAAACAAAGACAAAATACAGGTCTGCATTACTTTTGGGCGACCTTATCCAACACATTCAGAATTAAGCAATCAGTTCCTTGCATTTATAAAGTAGTTCAAATACAGGAGGGGACCCTCTTTAACCTCTACATGAAGTGTAACACCCACCTGGGTGTTTTGCAGCAGCCATTTTGGGCCAGTAGCCCTATAACGTGCATAGGACATCAGGCAGAGAGCTGAGAAGTACAGTAACTTTGCCAATTGAACAAAGGGAGGCCAGACTATGCAAGCCAAAAGTGGAATTTAGGCAGGGTACAAGGGTTATCACCACTACTCTTATGCAATGGTAGATTAGAATAACACAAGTTAAGGGTGTGTACAGCTGACAGAACTTGTATTGTATTGTGAGGTATTGCTTGTCTAAAATGAACAGGTGCATATTATAACAAAAACGATCGCATACAAATGTAGATTCGTGTGACTGTAGTAGTTATAAACAACACATAAGCATGTGGAATGCACCCTCTAGTGGCCATATCTGAAATAAAACAATGTCCAGTTATTTCAACTTCACATGGTAGCTTTCGAAGAAACATTAATGTAATTTCTGCCTATTTAAAGGGGGACAACTGGTTTTTACAATAATCCAAGTGTGTGCAGTTTGGTTAATTTCTAATTCTACTTGATGTATTATGCTTATGGTACACTGACTCCATATAATATCCGAGAAATTAAATGGCTACACAGTTAGAACTAATGACTCAAAATATAAGGAATATAGTTTTTGCCCATCATTGCTGCTAGGGAATGGTAGTTTTACCTGTTGTTGATTTAAATTGCAGTGTGGCTGCAATACAATTCCTTCAGGGGTTGTTCGTAAAAATCTCCCTTTCCCATTTCTCATCACGGGCCTGTTTCACAGAAGGAAAAAGGCAAAGTTCACTATGAAACAAGCACTTAGTGTCAATGAACTTCAAAATTCAGTTGCTTAGCCAAACCTTAATAAAGTACCTGGAGTACAGGTGTAATCTGAATTATTCTGCGTTATTGGTTTAATTCGCCTTGCTGAGAGAACGGCACTGTGACCTTAACGATGAGGCTAAGGTATGCTTCCTTCTTTTTACTAGAAATGAGTCAGGGAGCTGGTGTGAGGGTGGCGACAGAGTGAAGAGAAAGATGCAAAATGATAATGCATGGGTATGTGCTGTAGAATCTAAAACGTACATGGTACATAGGCCAGCAGGAGTGGGAATGGTTAGGATCTGACCTCAATCTTTTGTTTCAAATCGAATCCCAGAGTCACAGAAGAATTAGATAAGATTATTAGAATAAAGGGTCTCGCAACACTCTTTTTTAAGATCGGTAAAGGAATTCTAACATTTTTCAGTTGGAAATATCAATACCTAAATATTTTTCATAAACTCAGAGTTTAAATATTATTCCTTTTCATTCTTCACATTTTTATTTCAAGGCAAAACATATCTTCCAATTAAAGTCGCCACTTCTACAGTACCACCTCTCTAGGATAGTCCGACTAAGAGCTCTTTCAAAACAACCTCTTAGGACTTCCAGGAAAAAGGAAGTGCTTACAGAAAGGGGATATTACGCCTTATAGAAACTCAGGCTTTCCTTACAGAAACAAGTCTTTCCATCAGTAGAATGTATTTCAGATACTTGGAATTTGGTTTGTTCAAAATTTAAAAGTCACATGCATGGATTATCCAAAATTATTTTAGGCAGGGTGAGTTTTGAGCATCTGTGGAAGAGGGATTATTTTCTAGTAGGCCAGCCAAGGTCTTTGGATAAGAGTGGTTAATACACTGCAAGTGGTGAAATGACTCACACTCAGGAGCATGCCATCTGTTAAATATTGCTTAACCGGTAATGAATCGAAACTTTTTTAAATTGATTTTTTTTTTTTGTGCGGGGTAGTACTCTGAAACAAAGTTGGATTTTCTTTTTCTGTCTCTGTAGACATGGCAGATACAGTATGTGCACATCCAGGTAATGACCTCTGCGAGAGAACTCTGAAAGGTCTGGTCCCTGTTATCACCTGTGCTATGCTGGAGACTTTGCCTGAGGACGCAGATAAAGCTTTAAATTTTGATCTCTTGCAATGCAATGGAGCACATGTCATTAAGGCCAAGGCAAACCCCACTGGCTTGAGGCCTTAAGCAGTCTTGGCTTGACTTGAGTCCTGTCCTGTCGCTCCCCTGATAAGATCAGCACTGTGCACTGACTACAACTGCTAGCTGGAAAGAAAAGTAGTTAGACAGACAGAGTGAGAAGAATCACAGAGAAGTTTACAAACCGGAAATGGCTCCTTTCATCGTCATCGCTGCTGCCAACTTCGTCACTGGATGATGAATATTCTGTGGCCTTCACAAAAGGACCAGGGTTTGATTTTATCCCAGAAGAATGAACTGCTACCTGCAAAACAATAAATGCCAGGCATTGCACAGGTATTGTTTGTGACGCATAATACAATCATACAAACAGCTATAACTGTTTACTTCATTTTTTAATAAAGCAAGATTAAGGCTAATCAAACTAAACAAAATATGGCTTATTTTCTTCAGCAAAGTGTTCCTCTTCCCCACAGAGATAACCAAATAAAAAGACTGTGAAAAAACATTAAATAATCCTGGAAAAATCTTTATTTCACATACAGTTTTCCCAGATTCCAATGTGATATTTTATCTGTTCAAATAATAGAACTTGAGTAGAATCCAAGAATACAGCTGCTCTGTCATCATTCCCAAAGGGCGCAAACACTAGTGTAATCTACATTATGTTTATATGGCTATATTTCTTGAAATTAAAGAATAGTGACAGCAAATAAAAGCCCTACTCAGAAAAAAAAACTTACTTTGTCTGAGGCTTTATCTCTGGATTTCAAAATAAAATTATATGAAACAGATTAAAATGGTCTGACACAATTAAAGATAATTTCTAAAAGCATTTTTGTTATTAACAGTCAGGAATTTAAGAACCAAGGCATACACTTAGATTATAAACGTTGAGATAAAAGAACTATTCCAAATATTACAAGATGTGCAGACAATTTGTCCTTCACAGAGTTATTGAGGATGTAGGGTAACAACTGTTTTTGTTGAGAGGGGTCAACTATTTCAAACATTTTCAAAAACATAAACAAAACCAAAATTACATACATTACTCATAAAACATTCCGTTCCTTTAACAGTTTTATAAAATATACCCCAGTAATAGTCCATAATAATCTTTTGTTTATGGAAGGTTTCTTTTAAAACAAAACTTGTTCTGACACTACTGAGTGAGAAACCTCCCCCTTTTGTAGTATAATTAGAAAGGGGATAGACATTCCCATAGCTCAAGTCAAAACATACTTGGTGCTGAAATGGCACTCCTGGGCAACCATCTTGTGACTTTTTGAACTGCTGGTGACGATTTTGTGGGAGAGGGCTGTCCATCTTTGAAAAACCTGAAAGATTAATACAGGTCACCATGAGATGTCATTCTGCTTACTATGCTTTCTATCAAGCCCTGCAACCCCAGTTACAGTATTTTTAAACTATTATTTTGATTTAATGCATATCCTATAGGATTAACTGGCCTTAATGAATGAATTCATAAGGGTTCAGATATTGTGTTTATTTCCCCACTAGTGTAACGGAGACTTACAGTTGCTTAATCATATTCCATGTTTCGCTATGTAAAATTCTTAATTTGCTGAGGTTCAGAGAGGACAAAAAGTTACAAATGTTTTTCAAAGCTTCTCCCTATTTATAACCCAGGAGCTGTGACTCATTACATACATGTGCCTTCTTACGACACTTCAAACACTACACTATCCCACGCCTGTGCATCTTCAGCGAGAACCCGACTTTCAAGAAACCCACAGTTTGAAGGACTACAAACTTGCAGTTTTTGATCTTTACATCTCTTTTTTAGTATCTTCTAGTGCCGACTGAATTAATTTAAAAAAAGGACTCTTCTCGACAAAGAAACAAAGAAAGTAAGAGGCAGAAAATAACCTGGGCAACGTTACTTCTGCACTTTAATTTCTTTGTGCTATTTTCAGCAGTTGCTGTGCACCCATTAATCGTACTTGCATTCTCCACCCATTCAACCACACAGCCAGTCAGTCATCCCCATGCCTCTTGTACACACCCACACGCCACATAAATAACCTGCAGAAGGTTTACAAAACAGAAAAGGGCTGTGCTTTCGGTTTCTCGGAGGGGCCAAATACTTTATTAAGGTTGTAGCTAAAAAAAAAATTATAAATTATAAAATAATTTGGGGTGTCCTTTTTGATATAAAGATCCTAAAGAAATTGACAATTTATATTAATTGATATAAAATCCATTTCAGGTGAACAAAACATGAACATAAACTAATACTCCAATATATTTGCACAAAATCTTTTTGATGTGTAAGCTACCAGCATTCTAATAGCTGAGTGAACAGTAATGAGCTTCACGCAATAGAAATAATATGAAACTTTTCCATGGAGTGCACATTTGACTAATTTGCATTATTTGGATTATCACACACCTAAAGCCTGCTTACTTTTGGAGATGAATGAGACATCCTCACAGTTGGCACAAAAACACAAAATCCTAAGTCACAGAACAGTATCAGGGAAAGTATACCATGTCACAGAAATTTAATTGAACAGTAAAACACAAACCAAAAGGCACAAGTGGAAACTATGTGGAAGTGTGTTTAACGCTGAGACCAAGAGGCACGTCTTCAAGCACAGTTCTTTCAGTTAATACTCTTTTTAAAGAGTAATCTGGAAATCTGAATAACTGAACATGAGAAAGAACAGCACTGAGAACAAAAGAAACTGTGGCAGTATGGAACAAGCTATCCTGCCATGTTCTTGAAGACGATATCGTGGCTTCTTTTAAGACATAGCTGGATGAGATGCTTGGATCAATTAGCCTCTAACACAAAAACAGGCCACAAAGACCGTATGGCCTTCCTCATTTATAACCCTTTTTAAATAAATCCTTATTAATTAACTACAATCCTTTTTATCGATATGCATCTTCCAACTCCATCTAAATCAACTGCTGCTCAAGCCTGTGAACATGCGATCATTCAATGAAGCAATTACTGTTTTCAATTAAGGATACTATGACCCTCGATGGCTGGATAGTACCCAAACTATTGTTCCCAATGATCTCTAAATTACTTAACTCCATAAATGAATCATGGGTTAGCTGTGAAATTGGTGATCAAACGGTTAAAAATGTGCAGAATACCCTCCTCTCCTTTGTTACCTTTCTTATGTTCCTCTGTGAAAACAGACGAACCTGACTGACTGCTGCTGGTTGAGCTACTGGTGCTGAGGGGGGAAGTCGGCGTTGCCACCTTGTCTAGTAAAGACAGCTGCTGGAAGCCACTGGGAATATAAAAAAAATACTTTTAAAGAAGTTCATACAATTACAATTAGGCAATGTGTAACATTCACTTTTGGTGAATATGAAGGCAAAACAAAAGTTAAACATCAAAGTCTTGTGAGCCTGCAAAATACTTAGCCGTGGAACTATAAGCAGTTGTTTTCATTTTCCGATTCATGAATCTTCTCTTGTCAAATCAGATAAAACCAAATAATTTCCTGCATTTTTTCCCCAGTAATTTACATAAAGTACTAGATTCAACACATGCAGAGAATCCTTTGTGTATCATTCTCATATCTCTGTTTCTAACAACATTAGAACATTACTACATTATTACATTTAAGTAAACCCACCTGATGGAATTTTTCTGGTGATTTGAAAGTTCTCTACAGTAAAACTTTGATGTTGTTCGTTCTGGAACCTTGAAAAGAGGATTTAAAAATGAATGAGAAAAATAAATTCTCAGAAACATGGTTTTCTTCTACATTTTTTTCTATGGGTGATAAAAAGAAAATCTTTCTACAAATTCTGCATACAGTTTGTTTTGAGGGATTCAGTACTGTATGATATACAGTTCCTCGAACCTCTGGGAAAATCTGTTTTGTTCTGGTTTTAGAGTTACAGCTAATTACTAATACAAAAAAATCTTTTGTACAGTACTTTTGGTACTCAAGGCTAAATGGAAGAAAGGAACCAGTGACTAAGCAATTGTAAGTTTTATTTGAAAAAAAAAAACAGAACATCTGAGACTGGTAATAATGATAGCCAATGTTATTATCTATTTTCCCCAAACACAAACACGGACTGAAATGCAAACACTGAACTTCAGGAACAAAAGTTTTGCAACAAACGAACAGATAATAACTTAGTTCAATATGAACTGTAACAAAGCTAAAGGAATCTTAAGAGCTGTCTGCAAAGTGGCAGAATATTACATTAACTAATATATTCAGTAACTAGTCATACATAAGCAAAATAAAATGAATTCAGTCTTTCTGAACATGATCGGAATTTCATTGTGGTTTTAGAATTTGTACAACAAGCACCTTAAAATGAAGGAACACCGCCCTCTTAAAGAGGAACCGATCTTTAAACATCAGGTTAAAAGGGTAGACCAACTTCTTGAACTTAATACGCCTTTCCTTAGACAACATTTTATATGGAAGGTGAAAAAACATAAATGTACCCTAACTTGCAAACAGCAAGCATCAGCCTCTGTCTGGTAAAACTCAAGCAGGTTTTAAAAAAACAGAGGCCGGAAATGTACATGCTGCAGTGCTTTGAGTTAAAACTCTTTAAAAAAAGTTATCTGGGAATATGAATAACTGAACATGATAAAAGAACAGCATTGAGAACATAGAGTACTGTTAGAAACCTCACCTCAGATTGAAAAGAAAATTTAACAATGAATACTATGAATACATTCTACTTGATTGAGGTCTGTTGGAACAAATTGTAGCAATGTAACAAATACTTATTTTAAAGAAGCACAATATTCAAGGCAACACTTAAGTATCTACGCTGGGTCTACGTATTTTCACAGCTTCCACACAGTTTTACATCAGTTTTTCTGCGTTTTATGATGCTCTGCCATGCTTTTACTCTGCTTTGTTGTACATATTTCAACACTGTATTACCACTATAAACAAAGCAGGGAAAATTCAAAATAAATATGAAAAAAATGTTTTTTTCAGATTATTGCTTTTGGAATTTGCTTGAGAAAGCAGCAGTTTCACAAGCAAAGACCAAATCTTGTGAAATATGCTATAAAAATACAGCATGTCTATCACGTTGTAAAAAGTGGCAGCATTTTGGTCACGGGTGGCATAAGTATCCTTAGGGAAGTCACAACCTCATGAAAGGGCCTCAGTTTCCTTTGCCAACAAGATCAATAACAGTATGTACAAGAACAAAACAAGCAATGAAATGAGGAAATTCTTTACATGTGCTCATTTACAACAACTGTACACTGCAAAACAGATTTCTTCACCCAAGTGAAATATTTTCCCAGCAAGACAAATAAATACATTTAGAGAGGCAAAATGAAGGAACAGGTCACTTTCCTTTTAAAATGCTTAAGGGAAATTTCTAAAGAAAGCTGACTTCTTAAGACAAACTGAGAATTTTACTGATTTGCAATGACATAACTACCATTTCGTTCCAGCATTAATGCATGGGAAGGTTTTCTCCTCTTCCATACTGTGGAAATTCACAGTGGAGTGAGAATGCAGTGGATGAGACTGTCGAACACCTCTTATAGGTCAAAAAAATATCCTATATGTAGATTTCTACATATAAATCCACACTTACTGTATATGTAGAAATGTAGATTTCACACTCATATCTGAAATCTTGTTCCATTACATATTTGCTACCTTCTCTTAAAATTGCACAGCATCTGCTATGACAACAATCTCAGACCTTGAAATTCCTTGCACTCTAATTATAACTTTGAAATATAAAACTGGGCTCTTCACTTGACTTTATGGCTACAAGCTTATTGAGATAGGTTTTCTCCACTTGATCCAATGCAGCTTTTCAACATTTTCTTCTGTGACAAAATGTTGATATTATATGTATTAATGTCCTTATTTCCTTCTTAATAGTTCCTCCTTAAGAAATATTTTAAGAAATGTTCTGCTCCCACTTGTAAAAACAGTTTTAAAAACAGCAAAACAAGAGCTTGATTTTATTCTTATCCTGGGATAAGGCATTTAAGTCCCAATATCATCTTTGTATGTCAAGATGCTTTCTCAAGCAATGTCTGATGGTTACCTTGGGGGGTAGTTCCTCAGAGTTTGAAAAATCCCAGAAAACATCATCTTGCTCCGGAGACAGTGGACTCATGGCCATATCTGACATAGAGCTGCTGTGCTGCGTATCTCTGCTCAGTCTGAGATTCGCATTCTGAAACACACAGTATAACAAGGTTACTATTTTGTGTTAAATGCAGTACCTACCACCATTTAATTTTTAAAAACAACATGTATTAGTTTCATGATCATAAATATAAATCTGTCTCAATACGTAAAGACACTGATTTATTTTAACTGATTATTTCTATAGCACGCTATAGGTAAAACCAAGCTTTTTTGCAAGAAGTGAGATACCTGGGTATTTTAAAAGCTGAAACTAAAAACTCCCATACACAGGCCATGGGCAACTAACCTTAAAATAATTGTACAATGGAGGAACACCACCAGATGTGTCTCACCAATGCTTACTGAAGACCACAACACATTGATAATTGCAGATTTGTTCAACAGTTTTCAAATTGATAATGATACATTTTTAGCACACATAGTGACATATGACACACATCACAGACTAAATGACAAAGCACCGAGTACAGGAGCACCTAAATTAATCAGTGACGGAGAAGATTGAGTGTTTGGACAAGAGTCAAGTTGAAAGTCTCTTGGTTTTGATGATAAAGAAGCTTGGATGAAACTTGAAACTGCTCTGGCTACAACAACTTAAAGAATTCTTCGCTGAGGGAAACAAAAATGATTAGCAAGACGTACAATTGTATTTCCATACAGGGGTTTAGTGCTGAAAAATGTGTATTGTTGTGACCACAAAATTAAAAGGAGTAGCATTGCAGGCCTTAACATAATCAGACAGTGCAAGTATTTTAACAAAACCCTTGTATTAGGCTACTTCCAACCGTATAATTAGGTCTTAAACTGCCAAATGTTAAAGATGCACATTTTTCCTGTTACTTCATTTTTTACTACTGTTTTTGTAAGTCTATTTCAAATGTGCTTTTTGCTATTTTTGTTCTGTGTCATTTCCAAGCTAATTTGTTTAAAAATAGTTCTGGAAATACAGCTACAGTAAATTCTAAATAGGTTGTGAATATATTTCACATTTGTATTAGCTTAACTGTGTGATATTTCATCAAAGAGTTTCCTCAGTCCTAAAGACAGTCAATTTTTCAAAAGATCATTTGTCCTACAGTATGTTAACTGAGACAAAATAATAGTAACTTGACAGAACATACAGTATCTAATACAATGAAGAAACAGCACTATGTTAATACAGATGTTGAACTACTGTATATACCCCTTTTAAAATAAATTTAACCCTGTTCCCACTGCAGGGGAATAGGAAACTACATATATCGTCTAGTAAGACTTAGAAATGTGGAAACATTTATGCAATAGATAAGTTTGTTAATGCAAGCTTGGTTCAACACCATTGATGGCTATCATTCTTGTAGTAGCAATGAAGGGATTTTGTAACATCACATAATAATCTATGTGGTCTATAAACTGATCTGAAAGTAAAAATGAGACAAGGAGAGCAACATTACAGCCAGTATACTTTAAAAAGTTTAACATTCTTAAATTCAATAACGTTTTTCTAAGCTAAAAGGATTTCCCTGACATGCTGTTCACTGGAATTTAATGTGTTATGAACAAAACTGAGATTTTGCCTGGGCAAATATTTTAATTAAAAGTCAGATGCAGAGCCTGGAAATTCAGGATAACCTGGTAGGCAGGACCTCAGCTGTAACCACAAAGGTGCACGAAGAGGGAAGCCTGCTCCCAACATAATTAAAACATAAAGAAATGAGACAGATAACACCTTCCCAATCCCACCTCAAAATGCAATATACTGCAGATAACATGACATTACGCATGTTAGTACAGAGAATGTAAAATACCTGAGCTCTGCCTGATGGAACGAGCAGTGGCATAGTTCATTTCTGCAGCTAGCTTGCATGATACTGTCAGGCCCCTTCAGTGTTTGTACAGTATGTCCTACCTGTTGTGTGGAGGCCCTTTGCAGGGCAGGTGTGCATGGACTTGAGCTGCTCCCAGAACCCAGTCTGGTTTGTAAATGCAAAGGCAGACCAGCAGCAAAGCGGTTCAAGTTTGAACGATGAGCATCAGCAGCTTTCATTCTCTCATCAATCTGAGCAACAGTGACACAATTCAAAACAGAAAAACAAAAACCCTTCAGACAAATAAACCAAACGAAAAAAGAATAAACTTTATGAGAAGATTGCCAAGAGATATGCTATCTCTATAACTTGCTCTGTTTTAACAAGTCTCAGTCCAATAATTTTTTATTGTGCTGTTCTAAGTATTTGATAACTGCTGTTCTGATAGAATGGAACTAGACTAAACAAAAAATTGACAGGAAGGCTTTTTCTATTAAATGCGATTTTGATTAGTGCTAGTACTCCTACAGTACTAGCACTAATTAACAAATTAAGAGAAGTAATGGGAAGTGGAAGTGCTAAATCTTTTTGCAACAAAGATCCTTGAATTACAAAATAAATTTTCCGGAATACATAAACTAACAGTCTCGCATGTGGCAAGAAAGTAAAGGCATTATGTAAGTGCAATTAATTCTCTAAACGAAAGCCTTTGAGTAGTGTTACACTGGTTATAATACAGCTTCCCAAACAATCAGAACATATTTGCTGTTTAAGAAGCAGAAATAAAGTGAACTACATTTGATGTAACCATGCAATGATGATGAACTCTGGTTTACACATTTTTAGGCACGTATGCTGGGTATAAAACAATTTTATCTTGCCATGTACAGTACATTACAGCTGTGGCTGAAGTGGGCAGCAGTGTGGTGTGGGAGTCATAACTGTAAGTTTGGGGGATCAAATCCTTAGTGGGGTATTGCTGTACCCCCGAGCAAATGTAATTTACTCTAATTGCCTAATAGTTAAAACATAATAACCAGCTGTATAAATGAGTGAAAAATTTAAGCTGCTTTGGATAAAAGCATCAGCCGAACCACATTAGTAATAATCCAACAATTTTCCCTGATTGTGTATGTCATCTAAAAAAACATTTTTAAATATTTTATTGCCACATGCGACATAACTGTGACATCACACTTCTTCTACATTGTGTTTTGGCACAATCACGATGTTCACACAGAGAATGGGAAACAGCAAAAAAAAAAAACAGCACAAAAAGAGCATAAATGATTAATCAAGCACAAACACTGCATGTAAGCTTTACCACTTTGCGTTGGTTATTTGCTGAGCTCTTAGGTCCTGAACTAGCAACCTGCTGGGTCTCCTTATTTTTCTGCTTGTGATCGTGCTGAAGCAAAAGCAGCTGGGTCTGGTCTTTGGGCAGAGTGCGGTGGAATTTTTTATTCTGCAGCTGAAGCGGCTCTGACTTTTTCTAAACAGCAACAACAAGAAGACACAAGAGTCACTCCTTGGACAGCCTTCTGTTAAGACGACACAGCAAAGCAAGAAAGGAACTGCTGCAAAAAAAAAACATTTTTAGAAGCCCGGTACACAAAGCAAATTGATTTATGCATTTAAATGGGAAACATTATTTTCACCAACTAACCTGCAGTTTGTTCAGGAAAATGTTATTTATGGGACAAGGAAGGCACTCCCACAAGTTGTACTATGCACAAGTCTTGATACACAGAAGTACAGCAGGCACAATTATACACCCACAGAAAGCGCGCTAATTATGTCACACACATAAGTGCGTAATTGCACTGTGTTACAGTATCTAATGGAGGGAATTCGTCCGGAATGGGGACACATTAAACATGGACCTAAGCTTAGAGAACTTGCTGGAGACTACACTAAGCCCAAATCACTTGATTTGAAGACTGGCATGGAATTTGGTGTAAGGCAACCTTTTCAATTGGCATTTATTTTTAATTTAATTGATTTCCTTTCTACATAATTTCTCAAACAAGAGACCAATTTCATAAGTAGGCAATTATCTACCCATTTACCCATGTGGATACATGTTATCTGAAAGTTACCATCTACCTGTGAGAGTTTAGGGGATTGATCACAGTAAAAAGCCTTTTAGGGCAATTAAAAAGACATCTACAGTAAATCCAGCCCTGGTCATTTTTAATTCCTGACATTTTCCACATGCTAGAACATTTCTATTACAATTCTTTTGAATTTTTGTTTTAAATATCTTATCTCCTAAAAATTAATCACCTAAAGCGGGAGGAAAACAATGCTTAAAAACATACATCATGTCACTCACTCGTCCCTCAAACACCAACAAACTATTTTGGAACCCCAAAAAAAGTAAAATTCATGCATTTATTTCTTGATCAACATTATGCACAGGTTTCAAAGTCTGGTTTCATGGTTTGTTTTGGAAAACCACTTTTACAGCGCACAGTAATAACCTGGCATTGTGATTCACACGCACTCAGAAACATCATCTGCTTTTAATATCTCCTTGTAATCTTTATTGCAAAAGCTTTGCAATAAAGCATAACTAAAAAACAATAAATATTAAAGAAGCTTTAATCATAATGCAATCATAAAAAAAAGATGTATCCTGCTTGTTCCAGATAGCTGTTGTTCTTATTTTGGTTTACGAATATTCTGCTAGCTTCACGTGACTCTTTTCTCCAGACGGAAGAGCATGGTAGCACTTTTCATAGACAAAAAAAAATCAATAAGCAGAAAAGAGCCATCTTTTGGAAACCACAACATCTGTTACAACACTCAATGGTTTGAGTATTGCTCATCACTCGCTTCCAAAATTTTTTTTCAAAGAGGCAAAAATAATCAATAAAATTAAATAAAATATCAATCTACAGCCTGTTTGTAGCAACAAGCTTTAATAATATGATGTAAGAGATAAAGAGCTGCTTGTAAAGCATCATCACTCCTGCTACTAAGTTTAAATAATACCATAGTGGGAAATAGCACAAATGTAATACCTCTCTACATTTGCTGTTTCTCTTTCAGTATCCCTTAATGTGACAGTAACGGTTAGCACATGGACATTGAATACTAAGAACTGGCACCTGAAGGAGATTGTAGCAAACAGGTGAGGCTTGAACTGTATTTACAGCAATTTTGAAACATAAAATAGACTGGGCTCATGAGCACTGCTGTAGAGCCTGCAGCTAGAATTAATAGAACGCACTCAAGGAAGGTTTTCAAGACCGGTAGTGCAATGTGGACATGGCCTCAAAACGCAGGGATTAAGACAAAAAGTCAGAGCCACCACACTTGATAAAAATCCCTAATAAAAATAATATTGTTTTTGCACACTCAGGACATATTTCCGAATGTCCCACTGCAGCTCAGCTAAATTTTACTCCATATGATCAATACGACCATCCGACTGGACCTCTTTTAAGATAATTGGGACGTTCTCTTTACCTTATCTCTCTGAAAGTCAGCAGGTCTACCACCACCATCAATTTTCTGTCTTCCTGAGTCTTCCACCTGTTGCGTCATTTGAGAAAGGGGATTGTTGTTTTTCAAAAAATTAACAAATGGAAAGCTTAACATTTGTGGCAGTTGTGTTAAAAATGTTAAAAATGGCAAACAGCTTGCAGAGTACTTAAGTCCTCTCAATTCAATGTTTGATTCAGTCCAGACAATACTAATTAAGATGTAATGATAGAAGTAATTAATTCGATTTGGATGACTGTCGTAACCCATTAGGCTGGGTGAATTATAGCCAGTTCATAAGGATGAGATCAACTGAAACACTAGGTAAGCTGAGCCAAGGAAGGGCAATGCTGTGGTGGAAGGAAATATTCAAAGCAGTGAATACTGGGCTACAGTGCATTTGAAACATCATAATGTTTCTGGTGAGCAAAAGTGGATGAGGTGAGAGTTTTCATCCTCCTGAACTCTGGGATGCTCCTCTGCTTTCTTGCCTACATTCTTTAAGAGAACAATGCTAGTGCCTAGTAGGGTCTACGGCAACCACAGGGCACCAAGCAGGTCAACACCCTTGACAGGAACTCAATTCATCTTGTAATGCTCTGAAGTACAGGACACTTTACAGATAACAGCTAACCTAGCCATCATGTCTTTGAGAGGCAGAAATCAAACAAAGTACCTAAGAAACCGACACAGATATACATGGCACATGCAAACTTCACACAGAAGGCAACTGTGCAAACCACCATGCTACCCATTTCCTGTAATAATATGTCAATATTTGCACACTCTAATACCTTATATAAATTAATTACACATGGTTTGGACTAATCATGTTTGCAAATGAACAAAACTGTTTAGCGTTTACAAATAAATAAAAACAAAAAACCCACACACTACATCTGAGACTTGCATGTTTTTGCTGAAAAGAAAACCTACTGACCATCTGTATTTAATTAAGTTGGGCCACTTTCCAGATTTCTGTCAGAAGTCATTATTGTTAGTCTATAGCTCTGAAGAAGTCATAGATACATATGAGGCACAGATTCTTGCTAGTGTCTAGTCTGTGCTTTTACATCAGTTTACAACATTTTTGAATACACTTTTATAGTTATTTTAGATTGAGTATCAGCCATATACAGCCATATGTTTTCTTACACTTGCACTTTAATGCCATTTAGCAAGTATTTAAAATGCATTATTTGCATAGCCAGGAAATGTTATTTTTCCTTCCAAACTTTCAGAAAGTATGACAGTAATATGGAATACAGTATGTACGTAGTTTTGTTGACAAATACCTTGGTATTTTTGATGAAACATTACACATTTAATTAATGCTGCTATTGTTCAATTTTCTGAACATGAGAAATTATGTGTTTTGTGCATCAGCATACACTACCTGCACTCATAGTAGTAATCATGTAGTCAAACACTGACATGTAAAAGACTGAGAAAACATAATGAAACTGATTTATTGCACAATAATTAAAAGCAGATGCCAGTTATGTTTTCTTGAATGGTATACAAAAGCCAGGACATCAGCTTGATTATTAAGATGATTTTCACAGCAGTTTATAGCCTTGTATAAACTGCAGTTAATTGAAATGGTTTTCCTCAATGTGGTAAGATAGCAAAAAAAGACATGATCAGAGAAAATGTTCTCTGTCTATTCCAGTCTATCCTTGTGACCTTTTAACATGTTTCATGTTTTCATAATCAACACTGAATGGTGTTTTTGTTCTAACTTAAAAAAATGCTTCTTACCAAACTACAAAGCTTATATTTAACACAACCTACTCTTTTTGCAATGCTCTTATTACTTCAGCACATATGTGAAGAAATAAGCACAGACCACGTCTGAAGATATTTTCATAACTGGTAGTAACAGCTAATACTGTGTTTTTCTATTAATATTTGTCATTTAAATACAAAAAATAAATTTGTTTGATAAAGTCTGGCAAACAATAGTAAAAGGGAGGAATGTGAGAACCTCTTTATTATAGTGACAGAATGGCTGAAATGGTTTGAAACCCCCTGTTTTTTACAGCGTCAGCAAGCATTAATAGACCTCTGACCCGAGAGTTTCCTGCTCCAAAGCCATTTCCCACGGTTCAGCATTTGGGAGACTTCATTACACCAAACACTCTCGGGCCACAGAAACGACTATGGATTTCTCATGTCAAATAGACACTAGCATGACTGAAGAATTCTTTAGGAGTTAACTAACATATGACTAGGGCCAACTCAATGGTGGGGGGGATATAGTTCTGACCAGTCCCATCTGAACGACCAACAAAAACATTTGTACCTTTCAAATTAATAATCAATTAAGATATTTAGTCAAATGTTCGCTATGACTTCAAATATACAGTATACACACTGTATGTGAGAGGAAAATGAAGGCCACTAAAGCGTTTTGTGAGCATCACAGCTTTCGAAAGAATGCTTTAATGTAATCTGGTTTTGTAAGAAAACAAAAGACTTAAATGAGAAGTAAAATCTGTTCCACAAAGAAAATTATTCAGATTTGTGATACCATCCCTTGTTTCATGTATGCATTAATAAAAGACAGAGTCACGCTTCCAGGACTTCATGGTATGTGTATTCTTCAGAGTGGTACCTGTTTCTTTTCTCCTCTCCTGTGCTCCTCTGGAAACTTCAGCCTCTCCTCCAGGAAACCTTTCTCGTCTTTATCAGTCTCATCTCTCCACTGCATCTCCTGCAGCTCTGGCCACAGGTAGCCAGCTTCTCGCTGCTGTCTCCTCTGTTGCTGCAGGAGGAAGACAAAGAAAAACACAAGAGTGAACGAAAACAATGGAGGACTGACCCACGTGTTAGGTTTATGAAAAATCCTTCGAGAGAGAAATAATCATTGCTTAGAACACTAATACCATTAAGCCCAGCACACAGTGACTACTCTTTCTAATAGTTATTCAAATAAAGATCTAATATAACACTATAAAAAAGTCAAACTGTTGAAACAAAGTTCATTGACAACGTGCAATTTTCCTCACACAAATGTAAGTGGTCGGGAAAAGTCAGAAAGACTGTACCTCTTCCAGCCTCTTCCTCTGCTCTTTCTGCTCTTCGATCCTCTTCTGGCGCTCCGCCAGAAGCTGCTTCTTATATTTCTCCTGGTCTTTGAGCTGCTGCTGCTGAACCTGCTGCTGTCTCTGGGCTTCGGAACGGTTCTTATTCTCCTGCTGCAGCCGGAGAAACTCACGACGCAATGTCGACTCTCCTGGCAGGTTCACGATGGAGCTACAAACACGCAGACAAACCACAAACACGTTTGCAAACGCAGCTCTTGGTCACCGCCATACGCGAAGTCAACTGCAGTCATGTAACGTCGATATGAGGAGCATATGGTGACACGGAAATGTCTTAAACTATTATGATCTGGTGCCTAAACTTACAGCCAGAAAAAAAAAACACTAAATGCCTCTATTTTTAAAAAAGCAATCCTACTGACATGTTGTAACCAGATGTGCCGAAATATAATCAAACCATCCATACATATTTGATGAACATCGCTTTCAGGAGTTACTGTACAAAATATTTAGTTGATGGCCAAGACGTTTATTTCCATTCTTTCAACTGTTCTTTCAATGTCCTTGTCAGAAATACTATTCAAGGCCCAGGGTCTTTTGCCACTACCAGGTTGGGACTTGCTTCAGCTCCTTTTTTGCTTTCTGAGGCTGGAAAATTTCCACGATCTGAGGCAAGAAGACAATACCTTGGCTCTCCTTCGTCTTCATTCATCTCCTCCTCTTCATCCTCACTGCCGCTATATTCGTATTCCGTCTCCTCTGTTGAGATTTTGTGGAAAGAAATGAAATATTTGATGTGCGAACAGAAAAAAAACAACAGAAAAGAACAGGCTGGCAAGCTGTTAAGAAAACAATGAACTGGCCTCATGCTCATTCAAGGTTTTTTTTCTTGCTTGCCATATGGTTTCCAATATGGATAAGGAAAAAAGGTTCTCATATAAAACCTAACGCATAATGCTTTTCCACAGGCCATACTCATTTTCTCAGCTGGTTAAGTATTATGAAAGTGTATTGCTTAATACAGCCCTGCCCTAATGTACTGTACATTTTTTAGTTCATTAATTTTTATACTGCCAACTATTTTTATTGCAACTCCCAGTTGGGAAGGTAGCACAGCACCATTAAAAGGGCCTAAATATTAACATTTGCTTTAGTGTGCAAATTTTGTCACTACGTTGATGGTTCTTTCCCAGAATAATAAATCTTTTGTCCCCTCCCCCACGCTGATAATACAGTGAACACAGAATTTAAGTATCCTTTATAGTTTAAAGTGCTACACCTTTCTGAAAAGGAAAAAAAAAGATCTCATTTACACACAATGTTTCTATTAAGTGCGTCATATGGGATGATGCAAAAAAAGAGAAAACCAGCTACATGAAAAATGTATACAGAATTGTACTTCACAGCCAACGTCTTTTAGGTTATAATAACAGCACAGTCAGCTTTTATGTTGTATAGCTGTAGTTTCATTGCTGAGTTCCAGGGTTTGTTTTAACATTCATCTCGGTGGCCATCCAAAATACTTGCCAAATGGAACCAAATGCATGGGGGAAAAACCACATTTAATTTCTTGAAAACCACTGGGCTCTGATGTTAAACTACACAGTGTAATTATGTGGTGTGACAAGAAAAAGGGCGCCTCTTGTGGTTGAGTTCTGAAGATAATTAAACATTTCTAATTTACATTCCTCTGGGATGACATGCATGGAAGATCCTGTCATGCACTTTCCATCTTGAAGTTGTCATATCCTAACCTCTTCTGCCAAATTACTAACTTATCCCAAAGTCATGCTGCAGTCCATAATTACGAACAAAAATATAATGAGTACGACAAACATCTACTAAATCTAGGGGATTAAAAAGAATGGCAGTAAAGCATTTCATCAGCATATCCCCAAAAAGACATCAATTGACTGTTTTACAAGCCATCATTACAAAAGGAGGGAAAACATTTATTTTATCCAAGCAACAGATAAAGCTGCATAATTAACCAAAAGCAGGAAACTCTTGCTCCTGGGGGTAGAACTCTTGCGTTTAATGATAGAAGTCTAGATTTTCCCTCTTTTAAAATAGTATAGCTCGAAGCAGTTGGAACAGCTAATGGACTTGTGCCACCAATGTGCATACTGAAACACATTTTTCTTCTGCCAAGGTACTAAGATGTTGATTCACAGACATTATTTCATTATTTTGAGGGAAAAAAAAGGTTCAACTAAGAAATAATACCATTGCACACCTTTCTCACCCTTCTTCTTCCTGGTCCTGTCTAAATGGTCCTTGAGCATAATTCGAATCTGCCGTTCGTTTGACAGATCCTTAACGAACGAATGCCGCAAAAGGGTTTCTGTGGAAGGTCGGTGCTGATAGTTCTTAACCAGACAGCTCTCTATGAAGGTTGAAAATTTCTTTGTCCTTTAAGAAAAATGATATAACACACTGACAGTTAGAGAAACATAGCCTATGCTTTGATAAGTACTGGTTGAACAAACATTGCTTGTTCAAAAAGTGGCCAGTTATGTTTTAAATAATTTGTAAATAAAAATCAAAAGACAAGAGTTGGTTGATTAACATCTTAAAAATTAAATCAAGCTAGTGTTCGAGAGAATACCTGATGAATGTCTGTTAAAGGTGTATTTTGTGTGGAACTGTAATCACTATTTATCTTAAAAGTAATGAAATTAAAGAAATGATATAACCCAATAGAAATTGCCCTCAGGGGGTCAGAAGTAAGACTTCTGAGTGGAACATAAGATATTTATGTGTTCACTAGACTGGTTATTTTGATGTAGTACCAAAAACTCTAGTTATATTGTTACCACAGGAACCAGAGGTTAGGTTATTTTTAATCACTTTATTTTGAAAATTATAAATAATTATATTATTTTGCGGTTTACAGGGATACTGATTACTTCTAAAAATAAATACCAAAATAGGAACTACAGGCAGACAGAGACTAACTTAGCATGCATACTGTATTTCTCAGAACAGGATGGTCTGAGAGATGTGTCATTGAATTCTTTATGTCCAAGTGCAAAACTGTGCTTATTTGGCTATTCCCCTGATATGCATTTTTAGGAAATGCTTCAAGTTGAGAGATTAGTACTATGGATTTCTTTAAAAAAAAACAGACAAGGTCAATTTATGAACTATAATTTGCACTTCAAGAGTACACAATGTGGCATGTGTAAGAAAAAACAATAAAATAAATACCATACTGTCAATACAGTACTTAATACAACACTCATGCACAAAAAGGTGTTTAGCAGTTGCCTTACCACTTCTTTGATTTAAGTTTGGGCGGAGGGTTTCTTGGAATAAGAAAAAGAGCTCTCATTGGGTGCATGTCACATAAAGCTGAAATCACAGAGAGTTTATGATCAGTCCATGATTGTTGATGCATGTATTGTACGTCTCTGTTGTTTACCATGTACAACATTAAGTCTTTAAACAGACATCAATATCATGATCTGTGAAAGAGCCTTTCAACAGCTGAATAGCACCTCTGCTGAGGTTTCACAAGTGATGTTCGGGAGTGTGCTCTGAAAGGTATTTAAAATTATTCTGAACTGTTATTTGAATGTGGTGTACAGTAGTTGTTTTTCTTTCATAACCTGATTTGGGAGTGTAAATATCTTCCAAATTCAAACAAACATAATTAAGGAAAAACAATCTGAGATCAGTATCAATCCATGTCCCCAGGTTCCATAAGAACTACAGCAACGCCAGTCGGAATAAGGGCAGGTCTGCTTTTGCATAGTTGAAGTGTTTAGACAATGTTTGCAGAGGGTCTGCAATTACAGTCCATGGAGCTGATGCAAACCATTTGGTATAAAATATAACATATAAAAGATTTTTAGAACCTCCAGCACTGTTCATTAATGTGGTGACAAGATGAATGGCATCTAGTTACTCGCTATAGTCAAAGAAACAAAGCAACATTCAAATCGGGCAAAAACTGCTACTTACGCGGAGCTCCTTCAGCCATTTCCAGGGCAGTGATTCCCAAAGACCACAGATCACTCTAAAACAATTGAAAAAGAGTTTGCAAGGAATATTCACTGTCTAAAATAACAAGAATAATAATTGTTAATAAGCCAAAATTAAAAATAAAAATTATGTATTATAGTATTTGTGATCACAAGATGAATATGAATGATACGTATAATATGTGTTTTTTCGAGTGCATATGCAAAAAAAAACAACTGGGTAAATGTGGGACAATTAAGCAAATAGCATCCCAGCAAGCGTTAGGATATGAATAAAAATACTGGAAACCCCTGACTGCCTATAAGTACTGTATGATTGCAAGAAGAGACCTTGGTGACTTTGAAAGATGGGTGACTACTGGGTAGTGTTTCACTTGAGCTACAATGACCAAGACAAATTGGGGATATGAAAACAAGCAAGCAGATGCCAGCATGGATGTCTGGGGGAAAGACAGTTTCAGCAAAGTGCAACAGTCAGTGGAAATGCAGACTCCAGATCCATGATATCCATGCATGGGTTGTGATCAGCTAGTTTCTTCACAAAACGTCCTCTGAGGTCTCCACAGAGAGTGAGACCGTAGTCAGGTCGCAGAGCACAAACTGCTCATAGTACACAGAAATGGAGGTTTGCAAGTCCAGTGATGCAAAAAACACAGGCAATGGACAAGCGAGCAATGGAGAAATGTGATATGGTCACATGAATCATTTTTTTCCATGTTGCTGTTGTTTCCAATGGTGAAGTGTTCTGGTGATTCTATAATGTTATGGGGTGGACTGGACACATCCATTCCCTTAGAAAACATGGTCAATGGTAGTCGCTGTTGATCATTTTCACCCCATCTTTCAGCAGTTCTTTCCTGCTGGGGGGGTGTCTTGTAGGATGACAGTGCCTCCACTCACAGAACACATGTGGTCAACTGGAAAAAAACTGGATGGAACTTTTCTATACTCAAATCAATACTTTGTTTGTCAGAAATCACAACTGCCAGGAATCAGAAAATCTTAATACACACAGCCCTGTAGCTGCACTGCATCTCACCTTGCTGGAGCAGTTTATCTGTTAGCTGCTATTGGAGATGTGAAGTCGGTCATGGGCAACATCGCCCACTCCTCTCATGCTCGTCACATCTAATCTCAGTGTGATTAAGTGTATGTAAGGAATGAAGCCGCATCCACAAATTACTAGTATGTTTATACCCAGTATATATAGTAGTGATACACTGAATGTTAGTGTTTACACATAAAACAGCACTAACATCTCCTTCTTCTGCCATGTTTTGTTTAAACTCACCCTGTAATCGTAAGTAGAATCTGGATTTTCATCACAGGCTATGACTTCAGGAGCCATCCAGTAGGGTGTACCAATAAATGTGTTCCTTCTGCCAATGGTCTTGTCTAGCTGGGCACTGACACCAAAATCAACTGGAAACCAAATCACAAAGTTTTATAAGACATTTTCCTCAAAGTATAAGGCTTCATTTTCATTAAAGACATAAACACAGCAGGTAAGATGTCAGATGGAGAATGTGTAACACTGTATGCTTATATAGTAGGCGGACATCTACTTTGCCACAGTTATTCCAGTACATCAATTGCCTGTAGGAACAATTTCACCAGGCTAATGGCACATTCTCTTTGGGGTACCCCTGTCACAGCCAAGTGTGTACCCCATTATATCTAACTCTAGATAATACAACCCAACCGCAGCTCTGAGTGCCATGCCCCTACCAACCAAGCAGTGCACTAATGAACAACTTACTTCAGAATTTCTATTGAATTGTTAACCCGCTTTCTCCTTATTCATATGTTTTTTTATGTCAATGATGGGATAACCCTTTTTTCCTTTGGGCCAAAGACCTCTAGGTTTGGCAATCGGCAATTGCCAGTTCTTAATGATTAAATAATTAAATGTCACAAAAGTAATTAAAAGTCAGAAGACATAGCCCTTGAAGAATTTAATTGTCCAAAGCCTACTTATGTTTTCCATTGTGCCATTTAACTTGAGAGTAGAGAGCATATACGGTATTTATAGTCTATTGTCAGGTGTCACAGGTATCATAGGGCAGACAGTTATACTGTAAGTGCTTCAGAAAGGTATTATTTTTCCTGCTGCTCATATTTACCCAGTTTCACTTCTGCATTTTCCGTCAGCAGCACATTCTGTCCTTTTATGTCACGATGGATAACACGGTGAAAATGAAGGTGTGACAAGCCCTAGAGAAGTAACAGATTAAGTATGTAAGGTATGTTCCGCTAAAAACAGGCAAATTTTGAAACATACATCTAAGACCCAAACTGCGTATCATCATTATCGCATCTACAGTAAGAACTTCTATTAAGCTTTCTATTAAAGCTATAATTTATCAGACTTATTTTAAGGCATCGACACAGATACAGACAGCATAATAATGATGAAGTTAATAGCATTTGGTATAGGCCTATGGCAGTTTATAAATTCAAAGAGAGTACTAAAGCCACAACAGGCCCAGAAACATTTAGTTTTGAAAATTACAGTAATTAAAACTAGCACATTGGTCAGGCTAAGTTGCGTTTAATTCTGAACTCACTCTAAGAACCTCTCTGCAGATGTAGGCAATCCAGTCTTCCTTCAAGCAATTCCCTTTGGTCTTCTTCATCAGATCAGTCACTGAGCCTGCTCCACAGTACTCCATTACCAGCTACACAAATCAGTGTAAGGCAAGCACTTCAGACAAATCCAAGGCATGTTAACATGTTCACATTGAAAACTACTAAATAGTTCACCATATTTTTCTTCTATTTTCTGGGATTCAGTTCTAAGAAAAGACAACATTCTCCTTTTAAATGTACAGATAGGACTGTAAAAATTAAATTGTTTAAATTGCTTAACACATTCAGAGCATTTCTGATAAAATTTGGAAAACAGAAACGGTCCTGTACTAGAGAAGTTCCAATGCAAATCTTGAACTTCAATGTGCATTAGCTCCTACAACTTTTACTCTAATATAACCGAAAATCGGATTTTAAGATTGTTTGCTTCAGCAAACTATGCCTCATTAGCCAATCTAAATTTTGCTAAGAATTCTCTAGTAAAAAAATGAATGCCCATTTATTTTTGCTTCTGAATATCTCAGCGTTCAAAAGAATAACTAAGGGGTTTGTTTACGAAGAGGCTTATCCTCCACCTATTAATTAATATTAATTTTAGTATTCATTAGTAAGAAAATTTACTGTAATATTTCAGCTGTGTTCACATGCATAGCCAGTTCATGTTGACGGGGAGAAGATTATTCATCTTCTTGTGAGCAGAAACAGAGGTCTGAGTCCCCTTCCTCTTTGGGAAACAGACAGGAACTGAACCCCAGACTCTGGCAGTGTCAGTGCAATGCTCAAACTCCATGAGCTAGTCAGTCTCACAACCAGTAGTGATTTGCGATTGCGTTCAAATCCATTCTTTGTGTGCACAAATGGCTACACTTGCGTGGTGTGAAAAATGAAACAAAGTTGATTATGTTACAGTTTTGCCATTTGAAGCTATGCAAATGATCTAGTTAATGTAGCATATAAACACAGGACAAATGATGCAGGAAATACATTTTCAAAGACTCATTATATCAGACACCCCTGTCATTCAGGAAGTGCATGAGATTACAAAAGTACTTCGTTTTCATACAAGGAATGCAGATACTTATAGAATATACATGGTGGACACAAGTCCAAAACACAAGGCCAATTTCAATAGAGACCAAGGTAAGATGTTATACTGCAAGACAACGTTTTTAACAATTTCTTTGCAACACTTAACTCAAGGATGTCAATTAAAACTGCAAAGGCTATCATAAAAGATCTTGGCTAGAAGGTTTAAAAACTTTGATAAACAGCTTTTCATGTATCCTCAGTCTACATAGCCAATTATATACAACTCATATTCAAAAGTATCCTTTTTAATCCTTAAAGTTCAGCTTCAAAGGTTTCAAACATGACTTATTGGCAGGTTCCATATCTAAGTTTGTGAAAAACCTGATCATGAAATGTGTGTGGACAAGTATTGATTTAAATAAAAGGACATCAGGAAATGCTACAGTTATTAATAGAAAACTGACATTGCAGGATCCTATAAGTCTGCTTGTCAAATAAAGACAACATGACTCATTTCTTAAATGTTTTTTAAAGGCAAGTAACATGAATGCTCATGGTAACATATTCACACAGTAAATGGTTCCTAAAGAGAGAGATATTTTTTCAGTGGGATCTGAATGTTTTCAGATCAAAAGTAGAAAAACAACTCACCCACAGCTGATCATCCTGGCCCGCAGGACTCTTTTTAATAAAAGCACCATAATAAGTGGCAATATTTCTGTGGTGGGAATACATCTTTAACATGTTAATTTCTAGTTTTATTTCTTCCTCTTCATCCTACAATAAAGAGAAAAAAAGTAATGCAAACAGCATTTAAATACAAATAACACCTTAACTTTAGATGTAGATGTTGCATCAGCAGTTCACATCTACAAGGATCTAGTAACTATAACTTAATTGAATGCTTTCTTTATTTTACTTGTGAAAAGTAGGTTTTCTGCCCTATAAACATGAAGAAAAAAGGAGAAGAAAAGCAATAGGAGCCTTTATACATGGAGGACCTGGATTGGGAGCTCTAAATATCTGAAGGAAGTACAAAACACTGGATAAAGCTTGTATAAAACCACATCTCTCATCTGAGGATTTCAAAGCCTTCCCTGGCTTTATGAAACTCGAGCCGTCTTTCTTATTTTGCCCCCAAACCACAGTATCCTTCTTCTTTTGTGTTACCAGCTTACTGCGTTTCACAATGGGGCTTTACACTCATTAACATATCAGCTATAGAGAGAAATGTCTACAGCTCTGCTGGCTTAGAAATAAACCATTATAAAAATAAAACACGAGAACACATTCAGGAGCTAAAAGACAACTGGACCAAATGTGTTTGAACAAGTATTTACTTAGAAGAATGTCAGTTTACAGTTTAAATTCAATAAAGAACGTAGACCTTAAACCCCTTATATGGAGAAGAAAGTACTTTTTCCTTACACTCTGAGGGAATGGAGCACCAGTCCAGTCCTGGAGTGCCATAGCATCTGCTTGTTTTCATTCCATCAGAGTTCTTAACTAGCACGTTGATTCAGTCATTGGCTAAACTAGACAAAATGAAACCCTTCCCAAGTTCCTTAGGTGCCAAAAATGTAAAGAGACTTATTTAAAGAGCAGAAATTCACTCTTCCAGGTCTGGATAGATGCTCCAGTGTCATACCTGAGAATCTCTATGTAATCTAAGTACGTATTCAAGTTTAAAAAGCCGCATCTTAAATTCTGAAGACACTGTCTCACATTTGACACAAAGAAATGGGACAATGATGTGAGTAAAATAATCAAGAACGGTTACTTTTCCAGACACAAAAGCCTTTTTAAAAATGCTTCTGTTCCAAATTGTGTAATTGATTCTGTAATTAATAAGTAATTCTGGAATTAACACCAACAAGCACTGCCTGCAAATAGTCAAAATCAGTAATATAGCAGTTTATTTTTTAAAACAGGATGAAATCCTAATTGCTTGTTATACAAGAGCACATACAAGCTTGGCTCTCTCAAGAGCTAAGATTTTTTTCTTGTTTTTGACATTTTGGTTAAAATTAGCACCAAAAAACAAAAATCCTGACACAGTCTACACTGAAAAAAAAAACAAAACGCTGCTTACTTCTAAAATCGAGGCAAAACACTGCAGTCTATTTTCAGCTCAAGGCATTTTTTGCAGCACTTAAGAGACACATTTTTGCTTCCTTGTTGATTCCTAACCCAGTCATAGACTGCAGCATTTCTTAGTTCCCTTCTCATAGTTGAACCATGTAATGAGCTGAAAGATTCTAGCATGGACCACATTGTGGACATCATTTTATTTAATAATTCCAGGAGATGAGTGCACTGTATATAAAAACTTTCTTTCACCGTGATAGAAAACCAGATGAAAAGGATATATTCGTTTACTTAGCATCCAGACCAGTTGCTAACACATAAGGCAGCGTCTTAGTCCCCAGAAGAGTGCAGTGAGAGTTTCAGGAGAGCGACCTGCCTATGTTTTGGTTTGGGAATGAACTGGAGGGGGTGTAGTGTGTGAGTGAGGAGATCTGACAGGGTGGGGGCAAGTGACAGCTCACAGCAGGAGCAATTCATTTCTTCAGGAAATCTCCAACGGCTATCGCAGAGGTCTGATAGACAATACAAGCTCGACAGGAAAAGGGAAAAGGCATTTTTGTGCAGAGTAAGATCTTTATCTGACTCCAAGTTACATTCTTATCTGTGCTTTATTTGTCTGCTTTCAAAATATGTTTTAATGCCATATAACTTCACAGACATTACATTATGTAGTCAGAAACTATCTTCAATATGTGTTATTTTTATATAAGGCAAAATATCTGCTGGATCCAATTTAGGAATGCTATGCAAACCTCATCTGGAAGCCACTTGCACATTGGATTTTTTAGTTCTTACAGAAATACAAAGAATTACACTCTGACAAGCTACAGAACACTTCTGAATTACTTGTGCTGCTATTTCTACACACTGTACAATTTCTAAGGCTGTTGTTATACTTAGCCATTATACTTTACATTAATAAATCCGTGGCTTTCCAGATGTACAGTACAGTACTGTAATTACCTATGACGGAAGCATAACAGCAAACAGACTCACCTCTGTAACATCCATGACCTTGATTGCAGCCAACTGTCCTGTCTTGACGTGTCTCCCCTGCCAAAAGAGGTTGTATTCTGTTTATTTAAGCCCAGGAGTTTTCAGTATTAATGATTTTTAACAAACAAATGTTTCAAGACCACAATCAGGTGTTCGTAAATGCGGAACATGGGAAGAATGATTAAGCATCTAAAAAAAACAAACTAGAGGAAACACATTTTTAATTTTATTGTTTTTGAATTAAAATAATTAATTACACTCATCACCAGTTTCTGCCATGACTCCTATATATAGGTACCTTTAAATGTTTGCTAGTAACAGCAGGTTTGCTCTGAGACACATCACAGGAAACTGTGGGATGTGCAACATCACAGTTAAAAATAGATTTTAGGTAACTGCTGTCAAACTGGTACAGGTCTAATGAACCATAACAAACATTGGAACCACACAGAGGGAGAACTTAAAAAGGTACTGTGTTGCTCGCACTTTTACATAAACACTACAGCCCAGCATCTCTTAACCAAACATAACATGAATAGGTTAACCAAAAGTTTGATTTTATTAAGGTCTATCACGGAATCCAGGTGGACCGTACAGAAAAAATAAAACACTACTTCTCTAAAACAAGCAAGTTTCGATTCAGTCTGAGGAGCAGAAGGAACGCAGTGTTGGGAATTCCAAACTGCAAATTATCCAAATGAGGTAAAAAAAAACACAAATACACATTTGCCAAATTTTCAGCAACAAAGACCCATTCATATGGAAACTGCTTCCACTATTCTTTAAATGTGTAAAAAAGACACATTTGAAGTTCTTGAAGATGAAGCGGTGTGGGATTCTAGCTTGCATTATTAGGTTGACAGCCAGCATTTCCAAAGATATTTATTTTGAAAATTGCTGAACCAAAAGGAGATACATAAAATGAACAGCAGATCCTTAAAAATAATATACACTACTCAAACTTACTGAGCATATAACATATTATTTACATCTATAGGTACAGTATGGAAATTGGCAATAAATGCTGGCTGCTGTCTTTTTCCAACACTAATTGAAAGGCACTAGAGAAAGCGAGTCATTCACAGCAGTAGGCCCTAACACTGATACAAAGGTTGTGTATGCAAAAATGTTGCTCTGCTTCATATATGACCAATCATCATACATGTAAATAACACACCACTGTAACACAAGGCCCCTGTAACCTCAAATATAAAAACAAAATCCTAGAGAAAAATCAAAATGTGACATTTCCATGGCTAAATGTATTCATAATGAATATAAAGCATAAATAATGTTCCTTAAACAAAAGTGGATTTAGATAAACACACTTAATGAATTTTGATTGATGATTTTTTAATATTTAGAGTAATGACAATGTCTGAAAAGGTGCACTTAATATATCAACACAGCACAATCAAAATAAATAATATACTGTACAGTATATTGTTACTTATATATTTTAATAATATATTGTTAAATATACAATGTTCAGATTTTTCAAAGTACTGAAAAGGTAAAAAATGAATTTCAGGTATCTGGTACTTCCATGCTGCTTCCGATCATTAATAGAAGCATTTGGGCACCATGTGAGCATCCACATTCCGTTAAAGGAGACAGGACACAGAAGCACAACACTCAATACCATGTCATCACAGGAAGATCAGAGAATAATCCCAAGATGTAAAGAAAGCTTATTCACCCCAGCATTTCTAGTGATGGACATAAATACACACAAATTATTCCAGGTTCGATCCTGTGGTATCAAGAAGTTCATGGCTAACAGGATGGTTGCTACCACAACAGGAAGTGGTCATAAAAAAGTTAAAGGGCAACAATCCTGCCTTCATCAGGACACAATTTCCCCACAACTATAATTCCAAGGTTGACAACAGAAATCTGGTAGAATTCCATTGCAAGCATGAAAGGAAAAGGAACAAACTTGTCAAACGGAACTCCGTGGCTCTGAATTTAAATGTGACCAAATGATGGTGTTTGGTAAAACAAATGGAATTACAGGACAGTCTCACCAGAAGAATGATTAGCATAAAAAGGTAAAACTCACGTTGCAAAGGACTAAAATCCCTTTTATTACATACAGTGGGTACACGTGTTTGTATATTAATCTGGGACTGTTTCGCATATTCTGTTCCTGGTGTTCTTCTCAGAAATAAGGATTGGATGAATTCCAAAGCAATTCAGAATGTATCCAGAAATCCAGTTCCATCTGCTAAGACGCTTAAGCCTAATGATAAATGAACTTTCCAGCACAATAACAACCTGAAGCACACCTGCACATGTACAGCCATATGCTAAAGGGAGCATAATATCAACATTACTGATTGGCCAACACAATCTCCAGAGCGCAACCCAATATAACATTTGTAGTATGAGCCTAATATTGCAGTTTACAGACACAAATCATGTGCTCAAATGTTGTGGAGAAGTTCTGCATGAAAAAGTGGTCACCAATTTCTTATCAGAAGTACCTGAACCCAACAAAAGGCATCAGGAACTGCATTATCTCCGTTATCAAAGCCAAAGGAGGGATCAACAAAATAGGAACTGCTGAAATGGGAATACTTGTACATTTAAAACACTGTACACACACTACACACCGTAGTATATTTAGATGAACATGCAATTTTTAAAAAAGATGTGTTTTTTTGTCATATCTATTACTGGTAGTCTTACAAGTTTTCGTGTTTCATTAATGCAAGAAACCCAATGCACTTCCTTCACTATTTGAATGAAGGGAGAACATTAGGATGACCAGACTGTAAAACAGTGTTGTACAATCTGCCTGGTCATCCAGCATCCTGGACAGCACGCTGACCAGGCCCAGCCTTGGATAGCTTATCCAGGACACTAGGACTAACACCCCTACACTTCTTCCAGGTGCCATGGGTTTTTTGGTGACCACCTTTTCATGACCTTAGCTAGAAGTTTAATGTGAAGGACCAGCATCTCCTACAGAAGAGTAGCCCATTACCAAACAGAGGAATTGGTTTGGTAGTTTTGGTCCAGAGGGAAAAGTGCCACCTACTGGTCTACCAACACACTTCTAAGCAACAACGTAGTTTTCCTTTGTTCCTAGTTTTACCTTGCATAGCTTCTTGGATTTGATGAGATCAGGCTACAAGCAGGTAATGATGCTGACAAATGTTCGCTTTTGTTATATCTCCCAGCTACAGAAATTCCGTCAGGCCTACATTTAACATGCCACCCTTACAGCCTGTAATAGATTAACGTCAGTCTGCCACTGTTCAGAATTTTATTTGTTCTTTCAAAAATGAATTCACAAATGCGATTGTCATCTTAGCTTCCTTCGAGAATACATGAAACAATTCATTTGTGCGACAGCAGTCATATATTTAAGTCATTTGGTCACTGAAGTGAACGTAACGACTTCACTGCCTGTCTTCTTACGGCATAAAAGATGAATTAGAAGAGGAAAAAAAGGGAAAGTAGAACAGGAAGACGGCATTGCATTTAGAAAACAAAACAAGGAAAGTTTTTGCGAGTAAACAGGATTTATGAGGGCACTGAAGGGATAACAAACCAAATCTCAAGGGGTGTTTGCAGACCCAGAGGGATGGAAATTCACAAAACAAACTTCCCACTTGTAACAATGCAATTCTTTCACACTGCTAAGACACTGGCCTTTGGGAGTGGGATATTTGACCAAAACAAAACTTTCCCTTAAAATAAGTAAAAAGTAATGCTTTACAGAATTATTAATGAACAACTTCAGAAGAAAATGAAAGAAAATTTCCCAACATTTTTCATGTTGAATTGATACGAAATACATAAGAGATAAAAATGTTTTAACATTTTTATTACATACCTGTGCTTTTCTAAGAAACCACTTTTTTAGTGGTGTTGCTTTTCATATGCAGTAAAGGACTGTAACAACTAATCTGAGATTCTGTTACCAAGCAACACAGAACCCTCAATGCAAACCACAAGGAAAGTGCAAACCCAAACTGTACAAGGGCAGATAGTAGCTGGCTCTGTGGTTGATTTATCAACAGTCATAATTAACCCCTTCAAGATTCTAACTTTCTTCTATAATACTGTAATTACTGTAAAGGTTTTAATATTAGGCTTGAACTTTTATAACTCAATAACCTTTCCACAAGTATTAAAACATACAGTACAATACTGGCTTTTTTATCTGGCTTTACATTTTTCCTTCTTAACCAGTATATATGCAAATAACACCAATTATTTAATGTAGTATCGTACTTTATAACATTGTTCTACAAATAAAGTTACTGTACTCATTTATTCATTTTATCTCAACATAAGGTACTTCTAAAATCATGACTCCCTTGTAGGAGACAAGTAACTCCATAAGTGTCTTTATAGTTAAGAAATATGGAGAGTTCTATTTTAACAAAAGAAAATCATACAAAGGTCCAAATGTTTAATAGAATGGTTAATATATTGTACGAGAATATTTAATTTGATAAAATGGCATACAATACTGTTTACAAAGGGATATCCTCAACTCTCTATGGTAATATTCTTAGACCAAATGTGACTGACCATGTTGGAAAACTTGAGTATTTTCTGAAAGTATCAAACATACGGTGAATGTCAATGACTGATTTGGTTCAGTAGTCACTTCAGCACTGCAATAAAAGTGCACTTACAGTACCACCATTCAGAAAAAACACTCAATCACCGATCCTTGGTATTAACCTGCTCTGTTGTATGCCATTGTCATGGACCCCGGTGTCCTGTCCAAATTTCATATTGGCCCTTACCAATCATGGCATCCTAATAATCCCCATCTATGAAATGGCCTCATTACTCTGGTCTCCTCCCCACTGATGGCTGATGTGTGGTGAGCGTTCTGGCGCACTATGGCTGCCGTCACATCATCCAGGTGGATGGTGCACACTGGTGGTGGTGGAGGGGAGTCCCCATTACCTGTAAAGCGCTTTGAATGGAGTGTCCAGAAAAGCGCTTTATAAGTGTAAGCAATTATTATTATTATTGTCTATTGACAAAATTTGAAGGCTTTAAAACAAAGTAACAATTGATTTCACTAC